CGTCAAGTTCTTTAATGTAACGTTCAAACGTCTTGACTGAACGTCATTTAGTATAGTCGTTGAATGGGATATAGCCGACCTTGTAATTACGTAAGTAAAAGAAAAATTCCATATTATTTACGACAGATTCGTGATAAGTGGGTCCGGTTAAGTTAGTGTTGTGATTGGAGCTTAGCCAGCCACCTGATAGATAGATAGATATTTGTAAGCTTTTTTTATTTCTTTTCTTTCTACCTGCTGTTTGATGCCATATTTATTTTGGTGACTACTAACGCCGCAGTGGGAAAATTTTCAATCACCTGATTGATTTTACGTCCGCTCTGTTCAAAAGCCATACATACATACATACATCCGCTACCTAGTTGGACGTTGAGTGACGCTTGTTCAATCAACGTTCGCCCTAGTCATTCAATTAAATTTCGTCATTCAATGAACGCGCTAGTCATTCAATCAAATAGCAGATTCAATCAGAAGACGGTGACATATAATAATAGACTAATCATAATCAAAATCATTTATTCAGTTTAGGCTGTTACAAGCACTCATGAGTGTCTAGAAGCTACGCCATCGGTTCGTAAATCTACGGCTTGAGACCTTGTACTGAGAAGAACCGGGAAGAGACTGTTGAACACAATACCCTCTCTGCGCGTCGCCGTCGCGCTGCATGCGTGCGCAGTCAAGTATAGAGAGGTTGGTGAAGAAGAAGCAGCATTTCAGGTCTACACCATGTCCCTTTGTGTCAGTAGTCATCATTGGCTAGTACCATTGATGGTAGAGAGGGACGGGAAGAACTGCGCTTCCCCTCCCGCTCCCCCCTACCAGGAACGGCGGCCCCCGTCTTGTAGTTTTGTCCTGCAAAGGGGGGCGGCGGAGGGCTGCTTGGACGGGTACGCTCAAGAAGCCCTCCGCAGCGGACGGGGGACGGTACGGTGGGCACTAGGCCGCGTACTCAGCCCCCACGCGCAGGTCTACCTGCGCACGTCTGCAGGGTCCCCGCAATACCTCGGGAGACCCCTGCCGTGGAGCCCCGGTGAGGCCGGGAAGCTGCTAGGTACGGAGTCGTGGTAGAATCCCTAAACGGGGACCCCGCGGCTTCGCATTGAGCAGTTTAGAAGGTATTCGCGGGACTTTTTTAACGGATATTATGGCGTAAAGCGCCCGTAAGAGTTGCGGGGTCCTCGGTGGACAGCCACTGGGGGGTCCGTAAGACTTGCGGGGGCCAGGTGTCGTCTGTAAACAGCATTTTTTACCTGCATTAAAAAAAAAGTACCGTTAATGGTACAAGTGTAAGCAACATGACTGGAGACACACCAGTTCCTCTATTATAACTATTGGTCTCTTTCGGTATCTCTGCTACCTATATTTTTCTTGATATCAGGTTTTCACTCAACATGATCAGATGAGGAACAGCTGGATGTATGACCAAACTCGAAAAATAGAATAGTGAAGCCAATCACCAGGCATTACAAAACCTAAACTTATGTAGTCACTTATTAGAAAACATTGACTAGTTAAACTCGGTCTAAAAATGATGCACGTTGTCGGTTACTCATCTGTTATGTTTATTAAAACCAAGAATAACTTTAATCCAACTTTTGAAAAAAATGCGGTAAGGTAGCCCAGTGTTTCTTAAACTTTTTGCGTTACGGACCACTTACTGAATTTAAAATTGGGACCATTGTCAAGGTTTTTTAATTAAAAATAAAACCCTTGAACTACTAATAATACTAACAGGCCTCATATTATAGAATCACTTTATTTAGTGATTTCGTTACTTTATTATTACCCTTAGTCTAGCTATTCAAATGGGGAACGCTGCCAGTATCTTTGGAACCTTGCCTAAAGGGACTCCTTTTAATAATGTATTTTAGTTATTATATATTTTATGGTTTTTAGTTATAAATATCTTACTATTTGTTTTTTTATTCATGTAAGTTGATTTCTTTACAATAGATGTCGCTAAGTGCGCTTAAACGTAATTCATGTAAGTTGATTTTTCTGAGAGATAAACATTTTTTATGTAATATAAATTGTCATGTTTGTGTACGATAGCGCAATAAATAAATATAGTATTTTACCCTTAAACATATAACAGGGCATTGCCTGCTAAACAAGCATTTACTAACCATATGTGTTACAGATAGTTCTCTGTGCAGAGGATGTCTAGAAGCAGACGAAACGGCCGCCCATGTGATCCTGGAATGCATGAGCGTGGCAGAACACCGGGCATCAATCCTCGAGACGCCGAGGACGCTCCTAGAAGCCTGTGAGAGTCCCAGGAGACTACTCCGCTTCTGGAAGGAGCTGGGCTGGCTGTGCTAGCTATCCCAATAAACCCTGCACGCACAATGGACCAACTATGGAGTCTACGTGCGGAAACGGGGGCCCACAACAAGTAACAAGTAACTCTTACACGTACTTTATATAGGAACCGTACCGACTACTTGTTAGGCTCTCGGGGTTACAATACTTTAGAGGTGCGAAGGGAAAGCTGTTATCGATATGCAAAATCTTACGTAGAATATTGGTGGTAGGTATCGGAAGTACAAATATGGTTCTTTTACTTTGACACATATTTAAGTGGTCATTTAAAAATAGTGCCTAATTGATCCTCAAAAAATTGTATTGATAACTTAACCTAACCTTACCAATTGTAATTTCAGGTGATCTTTTATTATGTTTTTGCGGATCATTTAATTTTTTTTGCGCATAATTACTACAGACGCAGTAGAGGACACACATTATTTACTATCCCAGCTTAGCACAATTTCTAGTGCAAGATCAGTCATAATACCATGCGCCCTTAAACTACGCTCAATGGCCTCCAGGAAGTCAGAGCTGAATGCAATGTGCTTGGGACTGAATAGTACAAATCGTTTGTTTGCGGTAATGGATAGTACAAATCGTTTGTTTGCGGTAATGGATAAGTATTTACTGTTAATAGAAATTTAAGTGGATTTTGTCAGTTCTAATGTCTAAGTACTCTGTGCATCAGTAGTTTTTGTAAAACTCCCAGCGTAGTCACACCTCGAGAGTCTTTAAAGCCAAACAAAGGTGGCGGATGTGATCTATCAAAGTTTTGTGATCTATTTCAGGAATCAATATTCAATACAAAAAAAAAGTTCCGCACGGCTGCAGCTAGGAAGGCAGTTCTTTTATAAATTACAAGGTAACAAATTACGACGTGCACTATGACACGTAAGCTGTTATAATCATTGGACAATATTAATCATTGTTATCATTAATAACTATATAAATAAGGAAAACCTGCAATCTGTTTGTCTATCAGTCACTACTTTATAGTCGTTAACCTAAATTGCAATTCACGAACGCGAGTAGCTACGTGGGGACCCGCATGTTAACGGATACTACTGACAAGACGAATATATGTTTTCGATAGATTTTAGCCCTTATTACTTTACTGTTAAGTGTTCTCAACATGTTTGTTTACTAACATTCAAATAAAAATTATCACTGTCTGAACTGTCCCGAATGCATGCACCTCAATGCCGTTGAGTGTTAAAAAGCAATTAAATGTCTATGCTATTTGAAGTAAAGGTCATTTTGGCTTGAGTATCCTGAATCTTTTTATTATTGGTAGCTTAAAAACAGATAATATAGTCCTGGGAGCTGCACTTATTTTTTTTTGTAAATTTAGTTTAATTTATTGTTTGGTAATGTTTACGAACCTAATCTGAATACTGATGATATTTTACTTAACGCTGATGATCAGCTACTATGACAGTCAGCAAAGTATTTTTTTTATATCTTAAGTTTGCACTAATGCTTTGTATGGGTATGAAAGAAAAAAATGGATTTGATTGCGATGTATTCTTCTTTGCAGATCCCAAAAGTTTTCAACTTCGGAAATTCTAAGTTATCACTATTCTTTACGGATATACAACAATAACCTATATTTACTATAATAATAATAATAATAATTTATTGCATAAAAATATGGTATAAAAGGTGTTTGATCATTTTCATGTCTCACATATTTTACTGTTAAACAGCATGCAACAGTTTTTAAATCAACTTAAAATTAAAGTGTAATGCTTGTCAGCTTATCAATATCATGTCAAGATCATTTTATACTCAATATTATAAAATGTCAATAAATATAAAATTATCCATTAAAATGTAAAAAAATAAATGTCCAATGTTAAAAATTTGTTTTCTCACAATGTTTCAATAATCAATACTCATTACTGCCTGATAACCGAGCAATGAGTGTCTTATATATCGTATTTTTTATGTCCTATCATTTATTTTTGTCTGGGATCTTTCAAAAGAAGCGTATAGAAGCATTTGTGCAGGCACAAAGCATTAGCTGGTGTGACTCTTCCAGCAGCTACCTACTCCACCTGCATTTAACATCAGATGAAGCTATTCGCCACCTAGTATCAAAATATGAAACTATATTTGAAATGCGGCAAAATTTATGGTGTTGGTGCTAATAATGTTCAATCAAACCAATGATAAACTTCTCATCAATAATATTTAGATCATGTTCCAATTTGGAGATGTTGTGAATTGCGGCTCCTTGTTAAACCATACTTTCTTAATGCTGGCGTCAATAACCTGATATAATGCGGAAATGCTAAAATCTGAAAATCTACATCTCATCATCTCTCATTCCAGCCTGAAATAGAAAGATGATAAGCTGTTTTAAATAATAACTTTTTTCTCAAAATCACTATGGCCACATGAATGAACCCTGTCTCCAAGCCAAGCACATCGTGGCTTTGTAGCGGTTCACAGGTCCCCCACCCCACGAAGCCAGTCAAATAAAACCAATCGGGCATTCCGGCAAGCCAGTTACCGGCGTCTCGCAGTCGGATGGAAAGAGCGCCCTTTGTTGCGCGTGCTCAGAGTGATAATATTGTTTTTTAAATACAACTATATAAGTAGTTCTTCTTTAAATGTGTTCTATTTACGTGACGTTATAAAGAACAATAAACTTTTAATTTATATAGTTTTTAAAGTTTATTAGAAAGAAAATGGCGGTCTCTTTAATAAGGTTAGGATTGAGATCCGTTGCATTCAATTTGGAGAGGAGTGCAGTTATAATATCTAGTTCCAGTGCCCAAAATCAGTTTAAAGTAAGTGTATGAAATTTTCCTTTGCCATTTAAAATCGAAAGTGTGGAATTTAGAAAGTAGTTGTAGTTGAAAGAAGCAACAAAAAAGCAACCACTCTACTGAATATTATATAAAGCTGTAGATGTCTGTGGCTGATGGCTATAATATAATACCTAGTTTGGTAGCTTTCTTGGCAAATATATTTTAATTTATTACAATCTTTAACGGTATCACATTTTGTCGGTTATAATGTGTTTTTGATATAATTTTTTTTAGAAGCAATTTACTTGTACCCTTTTATCAATTTTTTCTTGCTACCTTTTCCGTCATTAACTATTTATATCATTATCTGAGTTTGATGTATGTTCCTTAAACAAAGCATTTTTTGTAATAGCACTCAGTGTTTTTACATTACATAGGTAGGTTCCTTCACAAATGTTGTTATTATAATGCTATAAAAACATGTCGATAACCTTTTATCGCACCACTAGTTGACCCCGCAAGATTATTTAAAAAGAATTGTTTCACTAATTATCTCTTATTTGGCAGATTTTTAAGTCTGAATTCCAAATAAAATAAAAGGATGATAAGGAACAGTAGTTATTTATGTCCATGACATTCGGCAGTGTAATGTATGTCCCATTGTATGTTAACTAGTTGTGTACAGATACGCACAAAATAATGAGTACTTAGATACTTGACGCAAATTATTATTCACGCATGGCATCTATTAACCACGTTCTCAAGTCAACAATCATGATTATAAACTAATATTCATACAGTTACAAAATATAAAATAAAATAAAACAGCTTTTAGTAACTCAAGATGCCCAGTCTTATATCAACTAAAAATCGTTAAGATTTTTTTAAATATCATATGGTCACCAAACACCTACTTATTTAAACAAGAACAATGTAACACAATACAGTTTAAGTGTCACTAACTCCAGTAGTGTGCTGAAAAATAACGTTTACCTACCCACCATGGCGACTTTGACCGAAAGAAGAAAGTAATTATCATGTATCTTCGTCTTTTCTGGCTAGTTGTTTAACAAGAAGATTTGCTGTAGGAGATCAACAATCAAAGCTACCAAATTATTACATAATTAGTCATAAGTTTTAACTGCAATTCTATTAAGCCGCATTCGGCGCTGAACAACAACAACAGAAGCACATTTTCATATTTATTTACATCCGAAAGTACGTTGACCTCGACGTGTGCAAGTGTGACAAGTGTTTTATGTTGAAATGATTCTTTCTTTGTGCCTGCTTTGGCATTTAACAAAGCATAATTATTCGAACTCAAATAAGCATGCATTATAACTAGTGTCATCTTTTGCTTACATTCTAAAGTAGGTACTTGCTTAGTTAGGTAGGTTTAATTTTACCTTTGATTGTAATTTAAATCTATCAAAAGGCAGTTCAATATAAATAAATGAACTCTCCGCAAACATAATGTCACATTCCGGTAACTACTTTGCCGCAAATTTGAATTAACAGGGCTTAGTGTAAATAAACAAGTTAGCTACGAGAAACTTTACCTCATTCGTCGGTTTGAAGGCCGACACACATTAAAAACATTAGCACGTTTCACTAATACGGGTGGACCGGCCACCATTATTAATACTATATCTTTATAAGCAAAAGAACAACAAAAAATAAGGACCGGCGGCTTGTTTACTGCGAATGTATGGCAATCGAACAGAGCAAAATAAACTGTTTTATTTACTCGATAAAATCTAAATCGTTTTAATTTAATTTTAGGCTATTGTGTACATACTAACTATAGCAGAACGCACACTGAGTGTATTATAATGAAAAGGATACGCTATGCTTATATTTAAATATGTTTTGAATACAATAACATTGGAGTTTTCTTATTATTACAGCGTACGAATATCTAAAATTTTTAGTCATAGCTGCGACATACAGAGGTTCCCAAACTCATTTTCTCGTAGACCACTTTCAACATTTGGTGGACCGTGGGGACTTCTGCTGTTATTTTTGTACTGTATTCCTTAGCACAGAGGACTTTGATTACTTTTATTTATTTGCAAGAACGGGTTTTATAGAAAGGTGTAACAGCAAGAAGGAAATACATGGGGTGGATGGGCCCTCCATTAAAATCCGCTTTTAAAGAACAATTACTTACGTGTTGAGATATTTAAGGGTAGTTCTCCATTCATTAATGTGGTGCGAATTCATACTAATATTAAAGATGTGAATGTGTGGCTGTCTGTCTGTTACCTCTTAAGTTAAAGTCCCGGGAACGGACATAGGATACTTTTTATCCGAGAAATCATCATTTAAAGAAGTGAAAAGGGGGGGTGCTAGTATGTATGAAAAACACAGACGAAGTCATGGGCTCCCACTTATAAGCTATATAACAACACCCTTATCGTATAAAAATCAAAATTGCAGTCAAATAATTTAAGGAAGACCCCTCTTTCTTGATCTTATTGTGTAGGCCAAACTTAGTAGTATGAATTGGACTGGAACAATTTCAATTCAGACTGAATGTTTTACCTCCTCAATCACTACTAAGCATAATAGCTGTAAACAATACTTACTTAAATTTATTATGCTTGTCGGTCTTTGGAAATGTTCCCGCATTGTGTTTATAAGTTGAAGAAAAATTATTAGTTTGTTTGATGTGATAACAATGATGGTGGTTTTCACATTCATGATTGTCATCGACTTCAATTCCATGGTGGAGTTAATGACTCCGTCATACTTAAATGGTGATTTCCTCAGTGGTTGACTGAAGTTACAGGTCAATACTCTTAAGAAATTTGAGTACTTAAATATACTTTGGCTCTTCTGGAGCTACCGTCTGTACATTTTAGGTGACAAGAAAACTGATACCTAAAGCCTCAGATGTTTGTCTGATGATTACCAGAATGTATATTTCTATTGGCGCTTCAACAAATAATGTCTAATTGAATTTAAAAAAAAATAACGCCGTAAATGAAATATGATTTTTCTAATTTCTTTTTTTTTAAATCCCTGTGGCTGTTTTGCAAATTTAGTTTATTAACCTTGTAATATGTTATATCCTTTGTCTGCTATTTCGCCTCGCAAAATCCCGGTTTCTTTAAAATAAGTAAATTTCTTTTATTCAATAGACTTTAACGTAGATATTTAACTAATAAAGCTTTTCCGTGGTTCGTGCCTAAAATAATCAAATAATGCTTATGTCATTAGATATAATTGATCTTTCGAAAGCTTCAAATGATACAGAAGAAAGACAAGTAGGGAATTCATTTCAATAATTTTTCTTAAGGCAATTTTTTTTCAACTCTTTTACTTTCTCTCTGTTCGTGCTAACAAAGCTGACCTTTAGTCATCTCTGTTTGAGGCAAACGAGTTACGCTACGCTCTTTTGCTCACGTACGTACTACTAGTAAGTACGTTTAAATTATACCGACTGGCTAGTCATTTACTAAAGGAAATTTCATTTCACGAGACGATTGAACGAATTTCGACCGGCTAGCGCGGATGTGATCGTTTGATTTTGATACACTGCGCCCGTGGTTAGATGGTTTAAGTATATATTTGTTGTGGGCTATAGCCGATAACATCTGCATAGGTATTCTGTTAGATGCAAACTCACTTATGATCTCATTTATTCTGACAAATGTCAAATATGTAATACTGGTTGCTTCTACAGAAATAGCGACATTTTGCCGTGTAATGGCGTACTGCATATCAAAGAAATGTCTAAAATGGCAGCAACCCAACAGCTACCGAAATTGATTTTGTTTTACAGAAACGCCCTTCTGTACTCAGAGATTTCATTAAGTCACGTGTTACAAAAAAGAGAGTAACAACCCCATTTAAACTGAATGTTTAATTGACGTTTTAGAGCAGGTAATTTTTGAAATTTAAATATTATGAACGTCGTCGGTGCCATTTAAAATTTGTTAGGACGTGAAAGCGTAGCAGACAGACAAACAAATGAAGTTACTTTGCATAATTATAATAGCCTATTATTGTTGAATAATAAGTAGGTAGTATGGGTGGATTATACTGGTTTGCGATGAGGTTGTTGCGGTTACTCCAAAGACAAACATAGTTCCGGATAAGATATCGTGCTAAAATTTATTTAATTTTATCCAATAGCTTCGGATAGTTTCTGATATGGATATAAGATGTTTAAGTAATTGTGGAAAAATAAAAAAATCTTAAACAAAATTCCTCGATCCTATTGACTCCAAATATTGTTTATATTAGTAGAAATGTAATTTAGATTTTAGTGAAGCATAAGAATAATTTCTTAATTTTGTGAAGCCTATTTTAATTTTGTTATTAAAGTCTTAAGTACCTATTTGTGACTGTAATTGATTTGTGTTCGGTCGCGAAAGCTACTTACTTATGTCTGCAACTTCATTGCGTATGCAATTCAATGCATATCAAGATATTCTTGTCGGCTTGGCAAACCGAGTGTATACCAAATTGGTACAATACCACAGTGAACTCGCCTTTTAACATTCGATAAACAACTTTATTACAAAGCTTTCAGATATGTTTTGGTATATCTACAACAGATTGTCCTATCACACAATATTTGACCTCGAAATGGTCCGCAAATCGGTTCACGGATATTGTGTAGGTATATCGAACAGAATACAGACGGCGTACCGAGTGGGGCGATAAAGAATCTGTCAATGTTAAAGTGAACGCCAGACAGAAATCTACCAACCAATTTAAGTACAGTAGAAGAAGTTTTTGGTGTGCCATTTCAGGTGCTAATCGCTAATGCTTAATTTCTCCTCAATAATCTTCGCCTTTCTAAACGCCCTCTTTTTAGGGCAGAGACCTCTAGAATCGTTGAGACTGGCCAGAGTCTTATAAAGAGAATTTATCACGCGGTGTGGATTAGTGAGTACCATCTACCATACCATCGTCTGACAATATGACCGGAACCAAATTAAACAGTTTAACGTGCATTCCAAGGCACGGAAGAGCTCCAGATAATTTTCGGGTGACCCATAGTAATAGTTGCAGCTATATTTGTTTAAAATCGCCAAAATGCGATAAAAATACACTTATCCTTGATGGTTCTATGCAGTCGACCTCGCTCACTCCACTGACTGACACTACTTGATCTGAATAATAAAAGATAAACAATTTGAAAGAAGATATTTTCTACAAATACCTATTTTACATAATGAAATTATAAACAGGACATATGCGCTACTTTGGTCCTCTTCCGTAAATACGATTGTATCGATAACAAAATATTTTTTGACCTCTAAATCGGATGTTAGCGTGTTGTGTTTACTATCACAGAGTGATTGCTACGTGACTGCGTCGGCGCACTCTGCTCGGTGTGAAGGTTGTTTGGCTTTGTAGTTGCGATATTACGGAGCCAAATTCATTACATTATGCAGGATTATGTAACGTCATTGTAAACATTGCGTTGCGTTGTTTGTTTGTATTCTGGGACACATGTTGTTGTGTGGGTGCTGCAGAGGCGCAAAAGCTGGAGTTTCACGAATTAGAAAGCTTAGTTGAGTTACACTTTTTTCGAGATCGTGCTCATCCGATTATCGCTTGGTGAAAGTGGTAGATATCCAACTTCTTTGACTGTACAGTGTTAATTGAAATTTAACTATTGACTATGGGATAGGAAAGTGTTACAGTTAAGTTATTCCCTACTATATTGTTAGTATACTACCTAATACTATGTCAATGATTAACTACTTAATTACTTAATTATTTTCTACAGATTTTAATTTGCGTTAGTAGGTATAAAATTAGACAAATTGGATAAAGAATGTTTATAAACAGTTATCTTCAATGTTTTTATCTAGTTTCTGACAACCTTTTTTATTAAATAATTTTAAAACATTACAAACAAGAAACAAGCAAGAAAGATTAAATAGTAGTAAACAAACAGGTTCTTATGATTATGTCATCTTTGTTAAATTATCTAAACAGAAACGAGATAAATAAAAGAAGTGTTTATACATTTATTGTCCCAATTCGTTTATCAATAGCCCGATCGAATAAATGATTGAACAATTCTGCAAAAAAATATTCTAATTAGCCAGGTAACTGGTCGAATCGAAACCTGTTAGTGTAAGGCAAACAGGTTTTGAACACAACTGGTCAACAAAATTAAATTTGTTTCTGCTTTAACCAAGCGCGTATTTTGAAATCTGCCGCCCCTGTCCATTTCTATTTGCATCCCTCCCCTCACCTAGCGTTGCCAGGCTTCCAGATAAATTCGCAAAAGAGCGAGTGCCATGCGTGGCCAACTTGATTGTCGGTGGCTTTTACAATAAAATTTCCTGTCATACTTAATATAACTGAGCCACAAGTCCTCCATAATGTAGGGTGTCCGGCCTTTTTGCCAAAAAGTCCGGCGAAACTGGCTGGTCTGTCCGGCTATTAGATTTGGCAACTTTGCAAACCTACCCTCGCCTCTAGAATTAGTAAATCAAATCAAAATATGGCTTAGTAACGACTACCTTTTTATAACTTCCAGCCGCCCCGGGCCCTCTTGGCCCCTAGAGTTTAAGCCTCTGGTTATAACGGCCCATTTGGGGTACAGCGGAAAATAGTGGTATGGCATAGCGGGTTATTTTTACACACATTGGTGTCGATTCTGACATGCATGATTCTCTAAACCTAAACTTAAATTTGAACAACAGTGTATCCCTGTCATTCTCTTTACAGAATGAAAAGGAGAAACTGATGTTAAATTTAGTTTTAATTTTAGAGAACCCTTCCTGAATCAACACCAATGTCAGACACAATAAGTTCTGTGAAAACAGTGGTAAACAAGCATATGGAATTATGGACTTATACTAAGCGGCCAAAAGCAGCAAAAATAATAGTATATGCCATTGGTATTGCTGCTCGTTCCCTTGAAAAGAGTACCTATAAATTATCATAATCATTGCCATCATAGCTTCAACGGACCTGTGTATATAGCACGAGACGCAGGTTTGCGTTTTTATATAAGATGTAACTGTACTATGTAGTGTACTAAAGATTAACATATAACAATATATCTTAACAGTAACTACTACTTAGTTCATTCCGAGAAACATATGATTTATAAAAGATATATACTTAATTAACTAGTAAATAATAAATATAAATAAAGCGTTCGCAATCCACATGGACTAACCTACACGTGCACGTGGTGGTCAGGCGACAAAATGATTGAGTGCTTATTCAAGGCAACGTTTCCCAAACTTTTTTGATAATGGACCACTTACGAAATTTTTTTTTTTTAAGGTATGTACATTAATTTTGTTACTTGCCGTTTAGAATAAACAAATAAATACCTACTTACTACATTTAAGATGATGAGCTCGATGTCGCGTGTGGTTAGCGCGTTCGCCTGCGATCGTTGAAGTTAAGCAACTTTTGCAGTGGCCGGTCATTGGATAAGTGACCAAAATTCTTCTATCTCGACTTCCTTCGTGCTTCGGAAGGCAAGTTAAGCCGTTGGTCCCGGTTGCATCTGCAGTCGTTGTTAGCACCCGCCCATGGCCCAGTCTCCCTATTCCATCCATAGGGAAGGCTTGTGCCCCAGCAGTGGGGGGGAGACATTAATAAAGAAGGCTGAAGACGATGATGATGACATTGCAAGGCGTGAGTATTATCTGGCTAGCGAAAAGTCGAGTTTCGTTCAGCAGTGTAGCCAATTGATTCCGAATCTTGTGAGGTCAACAATACGGTACATATTGCAACAACAAGTTATTATCATGCGTTGCATTGAATTGCATTGTATAATGAGGTCGTTGAACTTTATCGTTGCATATCGATACGAGCTGTACGAAAGGGAGCGGCTGCTATTTATAGATTAGACTCAACTAGGCGTGGGTAATTTCTAATTCTATGATTTAAGTAAAAGTATCAGAAAAATTAAACACAAAACTAATCTAAAATGGTACCTAATACACTAACAATAAAATCGCAGTAATGAAATAAGTAAAACTATTAAGTAATTAATCTTAAGGATTAGTACATTAGTGAATTGTACCTACTTCTAAAGTAATTGATTATGAGTTATGTTGCTCGAAATAAGTGAATTATATTTTATTTTTTTAAGCAGTATTTATTTAACGAACGGTTACAACAACACAAGAGAGTCTCTCTCTTAGAGAGAGATGTCTCAACCAATTTAAGAACGCGTAGGGCACATAGACAATAAGACTTCGATACGTTTCGTTTCTTGTATTCTACACACGCAGTGTTCCTGATCCTGCTACGGAGGACTGGTATGACAGCAGAGGAGGTAGGGGCCGAAGCGTCAAACTATCGTAGCCGCTTACAGATCACATCACTCTAGCACGGTAATATTATCTATACAGTATTGTGACTCCGCCCTGTCCTTGAAAATAAATGCCTACACCGAACGCTGCGTTGGCACGCGGTAGGGCCGCCCGCCTACAGTATTTTATGTAGTTTTGTTTTTAACGTGAGTGTAGGTAGAGTACTCGTTTGTCTCTTTTTTCATCCTAACCACTTATTTATATATTATTCCAGATATTTTGCCCGATGGAAAAACCGAAATACCTAAATATTAGAAACAAATAACGTACTAGTAGATAGATATATAAAAAATATTCTATAAAGGTAAAACACCTTTCCAATATTTCAGGTAATTTAAAAAATGACATCTCTGGGTGTGTTATTGAAGAGTTCAAGCAACCAAAAACAGCAATTGTGCTGTTGTACGATATTGATCGTCGTTTGTTCTTTTCCATACTGAATTATGTAGGTAGATACCTGTAAATATTTGATTTAATTAAGTAGATACTTAATTAAATCAAATATTTACAATACAAAACGCATGTTTATTGCACGGCTAACTGCATAAAAAACAATTCAGACCGTTCGGTCGTCGTTGCGGCGCGGCGGCGCATTCGCGACTGGGTGCACGCCGAGAGCACATCGAACTCGAGTGGCGTAGGTATGACTCGCTTTCCGGTCGGAAAGCGAGTCAGTATTCTATCTTCATACAAACGGTCGTTTGTATGAAGATAGAATACTGTATGATATTATTACCGTGACTCTAGTGCTGAACAAAACGCGTCAGGGATAGCTGCGCATGGGTACGACTGGAGAGCCAATCGGCGCAACGCACGCCCACCCGCGCACCTCGTTTCCCCCCAACACATCTTAATTTTTACTTCTGCGCAATAACGGTCAGCGCTAGAGTTTCGTGCCGCGACTTATAAACTCAAACTCATTTATTCTGTCTAGGCTGTTACAAGCTCTTGTGAAATTCAAAAGCTACGCCATCGCTTCGTAAATGTACGGCGGGAGACCTTGTACTGAGAAGAACCGGCAAGAAATTCAGCAAGGGCTATTTTATTTCTCCCTGTTTTGTTTCATACAGTGTCGTCAATTGAAAGATGACATCAAAAATTGAAAACATGTGTTGATGTCAACTTCCATCACATTAATATTATTAATTAACAAAAGTTAAGTATAGCTAGGTACTATTTTTAAATTTAGATGTGCCGATTAAACAATTTTCAAGCAAATTAGCAAAGTAAAACGACTTAGTCTAATATATTAAGCCCATGGTGACTTACATTTATGAAATTTTTAACAGCATAGTAACCATAGGAGACATGTTTTTATACACACTTTAAACTTATTAAAAGGTAAATAAATTATTTCTTTTGGTATTTTATTATAGTAACATATACCTTGACCCACAAATGAACCAAGAAACGTATACCATCAGGAAGAACCATAAAAGCTTGCCCCTCACAATTCTTTCCCAAAGACAAAACCTTTTTGCCAATAATAGTGAGAATTATCTTCTTTTACGAGTTTCTCCTCTTTGCGTCATTCATTAACGATGTTCCATTCTTCTTTTCCAGTTGTTTCACACAAAGCCAGTATGCCAGAACGGCGTATGCTACCTTCAGGAGCGGGGTGAGGAGCTGGAGACCACCATCAGCGTACTGAGGCGGTACAGCAAGCACCACGGCAGACCAGAGGAGGACAGGAGGAAAAGGAAGCAGGGGCAGGACAGCGATAGTGACAGCGACTCTGATAGCGACACAGAGTGCAAGACGCTGGAAAGGGTGAGTTGGACGCATCTAATGACTGTTCGGGTACTTTTTTTGTACTGAAGCGATTGTTTACTTTTCTTCAGTATTATTATTGATTTGCAATTATTATATTTGAAACCGGTATTAGTTTACGGTAGTTAGGGTAAAAATTACAAAAAAGAACTTTAAATAAAGTACTTTATTAACTAAATTAACTAATAAATTCATACACGGACAATAAAATTTTAAAAATCTTCCAATGAAATAACCGAACGCTCAATAAAAGTCTTTCGAAGGTAGCTCGACAAATTAAATAAAAAATCAGTATTCTGACGATGCAGACCTGAAAAGGCTGCGAAACGTCAATAAATAAATAAAGTTTCGTGCATTAACCCGTTAAAACTAGTTTTATTTACTGCTTTAACATAAGAATAAATACGAACGGAAGGACCGCGCTATAAAGTGCTCTATTCTCTTTGGCTACCCCACCAAAATAAATAGGCCGGCATCGCATTTGCGATACTTCTGGTGTAGCAAGTGTCCATGGGCGACGGTGATCACTTACCATCTGCTCGTTTGCCCCATTGCCATAACATAAAAAAAAACGATAATTATTGGTTTCTTCACATTTGCTCACAGTCGGAGTTCTGGCGGCGCAAGATGCGCACTGTGCACAACATTCTGGACGTGGACAAAGACGGATTGATCTCATTCAACGACTTCGTACTGTTCGGGGAGCGGTTCAAGGCCCTTGGACACCTGGACGATAACCAGGCGAAGGAGTTCTCTGACATTATAAAGGTAAATGTTACGAGTATTAATTGCTATCATAATAAATTCATGACCTAATCTCTGTTCTCCTATATGTAGTTTTCAAGCTATCACCAGGTTGATAGATAACTATTCACAACAAAGATTCCAGCAATACCTAAAGCACTCCTAAATATTTTTTCTAAATATGAGAGATAGATAGCTAAGGCTTAGACATCCCTTTAGCCGTCAACCGTGGGTTGACCAACGGCTGTAACTAGCCAGAATTTTTTCATAATTATCAGCCAATAGAGGAGCTCGATGGCGTAGGCGTTCGGCTACGATGGTTGAAGTTAAGCAACTTTCACAGTGGTCGGTCATTGGATGGGTGACCAAAAACAACTATCTCGTGTTCCTCCGTGCTTCGGAAGGCACGTTAAGCCTTTGGTCCCGGCTGCATCTGCAGTCGTTAGCACCCGCCAATCCGCACTGGGCCCGCGTGGTGGGTCATGGCCCAATCTCCCTTTTCCATCCATAGGGAAGGCTGTTACCCAGCAGTGGGGACATTAAAAGGCTGATGATAATCAGCCCATTAATATATGCTGAGGCAAAAATCTTCTCTATTGCTCACAAACCACGGTTATCATAAAGAATATCTACACAGATTCCACATTACTCGAGACGACTTCTGCCCCTGTGACACCAGTACCCAAAGCTTGGATCATCTTATTGAAAACTGTCCACGTTTCACCGCTGCCCGCGCCGAATATAACATCTCCACCTGCAACCTACAGAACCAATTTAACCTACTGCAAATACTAAGTAAAGAATCATACATAAACGAGATACTAAACACATCACACATATAATAAATAACCTCAAATCATTTAACAAATAACAACAAGTAAATTCAATTCCCATAGCATTCTCCATTATCGAGGTGTAAACCGCTAGCACCGAGATAATACTGAGGAAAAGTTAATAATTCCTTCAGCTTTAAAAAAGAGAGTCTTTAAATCTAAAGCAAAGTTTACTAGAAAAAAATCCACGCGGACCAGGCAGCAGACGGGACTCGAACCCGCATCCTTCGCAATCCGGGCGAATGCACTGACCATTATGCTACCACGGCCCTATTCGCCGCGTCGAAATTTTTTTTCCTAGCCTTAAGCTGCAAGGCAGCGCCATCTCTTCGCATTGTAGGTAACCCACAATGTCAAATGGATACTTTTTCAAGTATTAAACATTTGAAAGAAGAAATAGCAGTTTACTTAGAAGAGATGGCGCTGCCTTGCAGCTTAAGGCTAGGAAAAATTTCGACGCGGCGAATAGGGCCGTGGTAGCATAATGGTCAGTGCATTCGCCCGGATTGCGAAGGATGCGGGTTCGAGTCCCGTCCGCTGCCTGGTCCGCGTGGATTTTTTTTCTAGTAAACTTTTCTTTAGATTTAAACATCTAGCAGTTAAATGCTTAAAAAATAAATAGAAAAAAAAGAGAGTCTTTCCTATGGATGGGATAGGTAGATCGGGACAAAAGATCACCCCAAGCATGCAATTACTGCAGATGCAATTGGGAACAAACAACGGCTAAGTTTGATTTCCGAAGCAAAATATTCTCGGTCACTTATCTCATGACCTGTTGCATGAAATTTTTTTAACTTACACGATCGCAGATTGATCACGCTAATAACTTTATAGGGCGTTCTGTACCCTAAGCACGAACCAAAATCGAATTCGTATCGTTTGCGAGTCCGAAATGTCATTGTCAAATCTGTACTGACTTTTAGTTCTCGTTACGTACTTTGTGCCGCTGCTGTTCAAGTTTCCATACAAAATTAGACATTGACATATCGGTTTGCAAACTATTCGAATTGGATAATGGTTCGTGCTAGGGGTATTGAAATGAAATGAAATTATACTTTATTCAAATTGACTTACTGTAAGCTCTTTTGAATCGTCCAATATGTTTTCCTACCACCCATTCAGGGCATCTTTTAGCTGATGAGGAGATTGGGCGCAAGAAACTCATCAGCATTTAACAGAAGTAGCCACATTTACAATAAAAAAACGATGGGTTGCACTCCGGGAGTGCCGGCAGAAGTGAAAACTTGAATATTAACGTTGTGCAGTTTTGATATTTTGGAATGGTTAGGGAATAATTTTGCACGAATTGCTTTAATTATCAGTATAAAAGTGTACTATCATTTATGTGGTAGAATACAATATTTATTTATTGCGCTATCGTACACAAACATGACAATTTATATTACATTAAAAAAAATTATCTCTCAGAAAAATCAACTTACATAAATCACGTTTAAGCGCACTTAGCGATATCTATTGTAAAAAAATGCATTTTCTTCGTAATAAAGCTGCCATGTGGACGTCCTAGATAGAGACTTATTATTATAATACGGTAAAACAAAATATTACTAACATAGTAATATTTATATATAGACGAAACATTCGTCCAATATATTGAAAGTCAACAACCTTTTCAATTTTAGTGTGTGTCATGATGCGATCAGCCCACGTGTTTAACCTAACGCGAGTTTAACATTTTTTACCCATACAAAAAAAGTGTACAACGCCGCTAAAGAAGTTTTCACTTCAAAAACATGTCGCTACCAATACAACGACCATACATATAAAGTAAATACAAACAAATAATAACAAATAAGGTATCAATCATTTGTTTATTTATTAACAGTTAACTTGGGAAGAACAATGGGGTGCCATCGACCCGTATAATTTCGTGACTGTGGAGCAATACCTTGAAGATATGCACCACGTGTTGAACGACAAGACCCTCAAGAAGAAGGCGCACCGCTGGCTGCCCTACTTGTTTAAGGTGTGTAGGAGATCGTTGAACAATGCGCTTTTATTTGAGACCCACTTAGAGTTGAATATCGTACAGCAAAGAATCACATAATAGGGGTGATGACGGGGTACAGTAAACGAAATTCTATTTAGTCCGTCAGTTAGATGATCAAAAATTAATGGACATGTATTTTTTCTTTGGGCAATCAACCAAAAAATTACAGTTATAGCGCGTCAAAGTTTGCGAGTAGGGGCTCGTGACGTCACTTTTGAGTGAATTTTCATTTGTAAGTGTACTCAAACGTGACTCAATATATCTCTGCAATGTTTATATTATGTGAAAAATGAAAAAAATACGTGTCCAATACTTGTTGATAATCTACCTGATAAACGAAAAAAAAAATAGTCATCATCCCTATTTTCATTGTTGTTTCCAGGCAGTGGACAAGGACAAGTCCGGCTTCATATCCGTGAAGGAGTTCAAGCTGTTCTACCAGTGCTTGGGGCTGGACAACGAGCACGCCGCCGTTGCCTTCGCCGTCATAGATATAAACGGGGTAAGCACACATATACATTCTTTTATATCATCATCATCATCAGCCTATTAATGTCCCCACTGCTGGGGCACAGGCCTTCCCCCATGGATGGAATAGGGAGATTGGGCCATGACCCACCACGCGGGCCCAGTGCGGATTGGTGGGTGCTAACGACTGCAGATGCAGCCGGGACCAACGGCCTAACTTGCCTTCGGAAGCACGGAGGAGCTCGAGATAGTAAATTTTTGGTCACTCATCCAATGACCGACCACAGCGAAAGTTGCTTAACTTCAACGACCGCAGCCGAACGCGCTAACCACTTGTGCAGTCGAGCTCCTTTCTTTCATACATCGACGACGAAGTACTAAGACCTCCTAACTAACATTCCTTCAGAAATTCACTTTTTAATATATGTATTTAACTTTTAGGTGTATTTCTGCTGCATGTTATGATGAAATTACAAATTTGAATTTTAACGGTGAATAGTAAAAGGCCACTTTAGTAACTTTACAGAAACGTGGATCTAACTTTATTTTTCCATAAACAAATCTTAAAGTATTTTAAATGAGAAGGAGCGCCATAAAAACAAAAACATATTCATAAAATAATATTTTCTAAATGTCTTACTATTAAAAAGTTACACCGTACCTTTACTTTATGAATTAGATGTCGCTAAAGCGATAATCACTCGGCCCGCCATACATTTTTTGTCAAAAAATCATCAAATCATACGAAAAATAGTATAAGCGCCATTCGTTCAAAAACCACCAAAAATTAAATTCGCTTCAGCGTTGCGAACAATAAAATTAAAAAAAAGTTGCTGAAGCGCCAAAAAAGAACTCAAATCTTCACGAAACATAAATAGATATATGTATATAACTAATTTTCGACCAAAAGGGCGTATATTTACCTTTCCACTGTACATATAGATTAAGCGAAGAATAATACCCTCCTTTTAGGTTTGTCGGGTAAGAAGTATACTAACCCATTGTTCTCTTGTTTCCAGGACGGAAAATTGTCTATGAAAGAATTCGTGAAGCTCGGCAAAGACTTTTTCTTCACAGAAGACGAGAGCAGAGTGTCAAAGATGTTCTGGGGACCCCTGATTGAGATATAGCAGAATCTCAACCCTACTACTATATAAATAGGAGCTATTGACATGTAGTTAGGTTTTTATCAAGTCTTTACTAGTGAGTCTATTGACAAATATATCTCTGTCTATATGCTTTTTTAATATAGGCACTGTAGCTAGGTTTAGTTAGGAGATAAAAAAAGACTAATTATTAGGAATGAAAAAATTATAATGACAATAATAATGAATGAAATTTAAATGAGAGAAATACTTAATTATATTAATTACAATATGATTAGACGATGTCATAAGTAGAAGATACTGAAAGAATAAAAATGTGAAAAAGAAAATCATAGGTACGATGTTACTTTAACGTCCGTGTTTAGAAATGTCAATTTCATTTATTCTGTCGTCCTCAAACTAAAGTGCGGCTAAATGACATGTGGTCGATTTTTCAGTCTCAGATTGCGTCTTATAAAGTTTTTAATTCTCTATCGATCTGCTTTAAAAAGTATTCGTTTCTTTTGTAGTTAAGTCTAAAATTTTCAGAAAGTCATTTGATGAATGGTAACAAAATAACAATAAACTAGCAAACCAGTGAACCAAATGTTCACCAAAACCTGATTTAAAAAATGTATTTAATTAATTGAGAACTTCGGAGATTTGGTGTGGTTTCGTTTGAAATTATGTATTTAATTAATTGAGAACTTCGGAGATTTTGTGTGGTTTCGTTTGAAATTCGTGATTTCTCGAAAACCGGAAGTGCTACGTTACTCAAATCCGGTTTGTAGTCTTATCAGACTATTCTTAACTTATAACTTAAACATTCTCTTTATCTATCTCTTACGGTTTGGCCGCTGAAACAGCACCACAGACAGACGGACGGACGGACTTGTCTAATAGATAAGAGATTAAAGTTTACACGCTGTTTTATTAGCCATATGTCAAAAGTTGGTTTTGTCATTTAGCCGCATTTTAGCTTGAGGACGACAGTATTGAACGCTTGACAAAGTAATATGTTGTGTTCTTTTTTGTTTTCGCAAATATAATGACAACATAAACTTTGGGGAATTCTTTGCCCTATCAAAACTTTCCTACAATCTGGGGTCCTTTAAGAGAGGCGTGAAGAAGCATTTCTGCAGGCCGGCAAGGTGAGGATGGTTGGTGTGACAGTTTATAACTGATGTACCAGCTATCTTCGCTTCTGGACTCTATTACCACTTAACATCAGGTGGGATAGAGTCATTTTCCTACCTGGCTTAATAAAATATAAATCTTTGATATAGGTTTACTAATTATTGACGTTTCTAATTACGAACGTTATTGTGTTTTGATAAATTTACAGAACTGTAATGTATTGAACGAGGACAGGATACCGTGAAATTGTCCTAAAAATGTAATAAAAAAAAAATACTGAAAAAATGCATTCCTTTTGCGTGTTTTATGAATGTGACTCATTTATTTTTAAATGAAAAAAATATATTGAATCTCAATTAAAATATCGCTGACAATATATTTTGTTTTATTTCACGACAACACATTTGACCAATTATTGAATTTTATTTATCGCAGAAGAAATAAAAGTTATGGTAATCAGATGGGTGATCTAACATTGTTTCGTATTTTTAAGTAGAACATTATAAAGATTGTAAAAATAAAATAAAAATAACTTAATTACAAATCTTTATTAAATAACAATGTCAAACGAAATTTAACAAATTAAAAAATATTAAGAGAAAATGAGAAATGAGAAAAATTCTAATTAAATACTTATAGAAGCCGATTTTTAATCGACACAGGCCATCATCATCATCAGCCTATTAAAGTCCCCATTGCTGGGGCACAGGCCTTCCCTATGGATGGAATAGGGAGATTGGGCCAGGCCATATTGGTTGATAATCTATTCGCAACCTAATACGATGGTAATATGGGTGATTATAGAAATGTCTGGCTGTAGATACGGAAAGTCACAGGCAAAAAGGTAGAATAGGAATAATTCAAAATCACAGAACACAGTTAGACGGGCCTTGTGCTCGGGGCAGGCGCGCCACAGTTATGTGTGAGCAAATGCTCGTAACTTGCTGCTCTTGCTATTAGGGGTGAGCGCTGATTTGTACGATTGTTTGATGTCGCGTCGTTTGATTGGCTATTATCTATTAGGTGGAAGTGTAGCGGGGGCGAGCCGGTGACATCGGTTCCGGTACGAACGGTCTATGATCACCTCTTTCTGTGTTCTGAGATCAAAATAATATCTTATGAATGTCGATATTCTATCGAATATCACATAATAAGTTATTTTTATGTCGAACGCATTTTGATATCACGATCCAGTCACGCTAACGAATAAATCAGCCTTTTTACAAAATTATCTGTCTTACATTATTATTTCAATTTGTTCAATCAATTGTGTATAGCAATTTTTTTCTGGCACTTTATGGTCCACTTGCAGCAAATTTGCTAAATCTCGATTCAACTAAAACAACATTTAACCCGTACGAAAATGACAAAACATCAATGTCAATTTGACATCGTTGTATGTGATAAATCTAGTTTTTGTTAAATTGAGATTTTGCAAAATTCCTGCAAGTGGACCTAGGAAGAGAATTTACTTGTGCACGGACTTAACAATTTATTAATTTACAGGACAAAAATTTGGTATTAAGACTGTATGGTTTCTGTGACCATACAATCTTAATACCAAATTTTTGACCTATAAAATAATAAGCTATTTTCTAGATATGTACCTAATCAGAGTAATAACATAGCACAATTAAACAGGAAGTCTTATTCAGTCCTGGCACGAAATTGCGTAGACATAATTACTTAATGATAATTAAGTAAATATCTGCAATTTTCTAGAAGCAATTATCGAGTATTAGGTGGTTAACCAACCGCAAATTTAATTAGCACGCATTTTTTCAACGGATTTTTTATATTTCTTTACCTACCTACATGACAGTAAAAAAATCAATTGAGAACATCTTTAACTTCAACGACCTTTTCAGAGACGTCAATTATTTTTAAAATTAATAGGGTATTTTACTTACAGGTTTAAAAATAAAGTGCCAATAGGGTATGTAACAAGTTTTAGAAAACGATCTCACGTTATTGACTAATGTTTATGGAGTCCGTAAAAAGTGGATATTCATTATTCTGTTGTGTATTTCAGTAAAAATAACCAAATCAAAAACTGCATTTTCAAGTTGCCGCGAAAACGTTTTTCTTGACAATATGACGTCTTACTAGTGTGTGACGTCACTCGACTGTTAGTAAAACGTCAAACGATACAATGTAATGTCACTTTAACCGGAAGTTTACTTGCGTGTGATGTCATTTTAAGCTCCGCCAATCCCCAGCGTTTTGGGTCACGTGACAATAGATAAGAAAACTATTATCTTTTTCGTGGGTTTTTAGTAAAATTATGAATATTTTTTTTTGTAAAAATAGTCAAAACCCCTGGCAATATTCATTCTAAACACAGATGCTAACAATTAGCTTTTTATTTTTAATACTATCATTTGATTTATTTACCCTATTGAGAACATCTTAAACTTCACCGCCCTTTTCAGAGACGTCTATTATTTTTAAAATTAATAGGGTATTTTACAGGTTTAAAACATCTGTATTAAGAATGGATATTGGCAGTTATGTTATTATTTTTACAGAAACAAATATTGGTAATTTTACTAAACAACTATGAAAAAAAAACTTTTTTTTTATCTACTATCACGTGACCGAAAATGCCTGTGATTGACGAAGCCTAAAATGACGTCACACTTCGATAAACTTCCGGTCAAAGTGACATTAGTTGAAGTGTTTGACATTAAAATTACAGCCGTGTGACGTAACACATAGGTAAACACGTCATAGTACCCACAGAAACGTTTGAGCGGCATATCCGAAAGAAATATTTTTTATTTCGGTTGTTATACTGAAATACACAGTATGATAAATTAACACTTTTTAAGGAGTCTATAAACAATAATAAATAACTTAAGATGGTTTTCAAAAATTTGTAAAATATCCTATTAAAATAGTTCGTGCTCTCATTTTAACGACTTCAACAAGACAACGAAATGACTTTAGCATTAATTAACGTCTCTAAGCAAGGGAAACTAAATAAATGCAGGCTAAAAATTATTAAAAAAAAAATAACTATAATTAAAGAATAACACTAGACGATACTGAGTTGGTCTTTGAGTAGTTTGGTGTCTTCGATCAATGTTGATATTTGGCTGGTTCTGAAAATAACGATTTTATATGTATTAAAACATAATATGGAAAACATTTATTTATAAATACATATAAAGGCTGTATAAAACTATAGGACAGCTGATTAAAAAGGTCACTGGTAACGAATCTGACAGGATTCTCCAAACCTTAACTTAATTTTGACAACAGTGCATCCTTGTCATTCTCTATACAGGTGAATAGGAAAGACTGATGTTAAATTTTGATTTAAGTTTTTGAAGTGAAACTTATTTAGGCTAACTTGGGGGGTAAACTGGCGAATGTGTGACGATTTTTGCGTTACGCGCGTAACGGGTAACCGGTGACTCATCGGTATACAATGAACAATACCCGTCACAAAATACATAATACCCACTGATTGGTGGGTGATAACAGACCAAGTGCGGATTGGTGGGTGATAACAGACCAAGTGCGGATTGGTGGATAATAACAGACCAAGTGTGGATTAGTGGATGATAACGGACCCAGCGCGGGTTGGTGGGTGATAATGGACCCAGTGCGGATTGGTGGATGATAACGGACCCAGCGCGGATTGGTGGGTGAGAACAGACCAAGTGCGGATTGGTGGATGATAACGGACCCAGCGCGGGTTGGTGGGTGATAATGGACCCAGTGCGGATTGGTGGATGATAACGGACCCAGCGCGGATTGGTGGGTGATAACAGACCAAGTGCGGATTGGTGGATGATAACGGACCCAGCGCGGATTGGTGGGTGATAACAGACCAAGTGCGGATTGGTGGATGATAACGGACCCAGCGCGGATTGGTGGGTGATAACAGACCAAATGCGGATTGGTGGATGATAACGGACCCAGCGCGGATTAGTGGGTGATAACAGACCAAGTGCGGATTGGTGGATGATAACAGACCAAGTGCGGATTGGTGGATGATAACGGACCCAGCGCGGATTGGTGGGTGATAACAGACCAAGTGCGGATTGGTGGATGATAACAGACCAAGTGCGGATTGGTGGATGATAACGGACCCAGCGCGGATTGGTGGGTGATAACAGACCAAGTGCGGATTGGTGGATGATAACGGACCCAGCGCGGATTGGTGGGTGATAATGGACCCAGTGCGGATTGGTGGGTGATAACGGACCAAGTGCGGATTGGTGGATGATAACGGACCCAGCGCGGATTGGTGGGTGATAACAGACCAAGTGCGGATTGGTGGATGATAACGGACCCAGCGCGGATTGGTGGGTGATAACAGACCAAGTGCGGATTGGTGGATGATCACGGACCAAGCGCGGATTGGTGGGTGATAACAGAGCAAGTGCGGATTGGTGGATGATAACGGACCCAGCGCGGATTGGTGGGTGATAACAGACCAAGTGCGGATTGGTGGATGATAACGGACCCAGCGCGGATTGGTGGGTGATAACAGACCAAGTGCGGATTGGTGGATGATAACGGACCCAGCGCGGATTGGTGGGTGATAACAGACCAAGTGCGGATTGGTGGATGATAACGGACCCAGCGCGGATTGGTGGGTGATAACAGACCAAGTGCGGATTGGTGGATGATAACGGACCAAGCGCGGATTGGTGGGTGATAACAGACCAAGTGCGGATTGGTGGATGATAACGGACCAAGCGCGGATTGGTGGGTGATAGGGGACCCAGTGCGAATTGGTGGATGATAACGAACCCAGCGCGGATTGGTGGTTTTTTTTCTATCAACAAATCTTGGAAAAGGAATTGGAAGTATGGTAAAGTAATAGTTTCCTATGGATGGAATAGGGCGAATAGATATGGCACAGGGGCGTATTTTGAAAAGGGGTGCTTCGGGCCATTTTAAATTTGCAACTCCCTAGAATTAGTAAATCAAATCAAAATATGGGTCAGCCATCATCACCATCATCAGCCTATTAATGTCCCCACTGCTGGGGCACAGGCCTTCCCTATGGATGGAATAGGGAGATTGGGCCATGTCCCACCACGCAGGCCCAGTGCGGATTGGCGGGTGCTAACGACTGCAGATGCAGCCGGGACCAACGGCTTAACGTGCCTTCTTTGGTGACTCATCCAATGACCGACCGCTGCGAAAGTTGCTTAACTTCAACGATCGCAGCCGAACGCGCTAACCACCTCAATACTTTTATATGGCTTTTGTCGCTTCTCGCTTGCCCTCTGAAGCACAAAGAAGTGAGAATTGACAATTTATTAATTGCAAAAGCTGTTAGTGTAAAAAAAAAAGGAACATAATTATGTCGACGAAAATGATGATGGGTTTATTAAATACGCTTGATAACTTACTGTTGCTGCAGTATGGATGATATGGTGTCGCTGTGTGATTTTCCCAAAGCGATGTCCTTCTTTTTGTATTCCTCTTGCCATTCCTTCATCTGCGAAGAAAGGTCATGGTCTGGTTGAATGCTTATTAGTAATACCGAGATTACCAGATCTTACTTATTTATCTATAATATAAAAATGAAGCGAAATATTTATCTATAATATAGTATAAAATGAGGAGCTCGATGGCGCAGGTGGCTAGCGCGTTCGGCTGCGATCGTTGAAGTTAAGCAACTTTCGCAGTGGTCGGTCATTGGATGGGTGACCAAAAATTTACTATCTCGAGCTCCTCCGTGCTTCGGAAGGCACGTTAAGCCGTTGGTCCCGGCTGCATTTGCAGTCGTTAGCACCCACAAATCCGCACTGGGCCCGCATGGTGGGTCATGGCCCAATCTCCCTATTCCATCCATAGGGAAGGCCTGTGCCCCAGCAGTGGGGACATTAATAGGCTGATGATGATAAAAATGAATCGCTGAATGTGTTGCTAAGCGCAAATATCGAGAACAGCCGTACCGATTTCGATAATTCTTTCTTAAGAATATTCCTTGAAGTACGAGGATGGTTTCTAAGCAAATAAAAATTTTAAAAAAATGCCTAAAAAGCCCAAAAACAACACTTTTCTATAACTCCCATACAAACGATTAGTAGTAATACTTAAAAGTCAATTTGAACTTTAATACCATACCATAAATTTCAAATGTTTGTAGAGAGGTTCCGGGAAGGCAGAACAATTGAGTGACGTGATGTAGATAGAAGTTTGGAAAAGGCAAATATACCACTTTCAGTTTTTTTTTTTATAATTTTATGAAGAGTCATTTTAGTCTACACTACAGGTCTACACCGAAGCGAAGCGAAGGCGGGCCACTAGTTTTAAAATAAATATGGATATACGAATAGTGTTACTGTGTACAATGAACGTATACAAACTCGATAACTTGTGTGGGTCATTTTTAGGTTACCTCTAGTTGTGACATAACTCTAATAGTTAGATATAATATGTCTACCATATAATGGTATAGCGGACTTTTTTGTAAATATTGGTATCCTCTATAAAATGTTGGTACATTGCTTTGCTCTATTATCAATGACTTTCGCAGCGTTTGCGATATAAGGAAATTTTTTGGTATTTTTTACACACGTTGGGTTACATTATCGAAATTTACATACGGAACCCCAACTTTTTTGAAAATACACTATAACCTATATTATTCAGTGACAATGTGGCATTCAAATGGTAAAAGAATTTTTAAAATCAGTCCAGTTCAGTAGAGCTAATTCGTTACAAACATACTTACATACAAACCTTCCCTCTTTATAATATTAGTATAGATAAGGTGTGTAAATTAAAAACCATTACTAAATATAATTAAACGCAAAATATGAAAAATTAAAATTTTTTTTCTACTTGTGGCAGAAATCTTCCATCTCCGTCTCCACAGACAGAGGTTTTTTGCATAGAGGTGTAAGAATAGGCTGGGAAAGGCGGCTCTAAAAGTGTCCGTCTAGTAGAAAGAGAAAGAAGATGAGAGACCGCTAGCTATCTCTCTCTCTCTTGTGACGCATGCGCAGTCGTCTGTCCAATAGTTGGTCCAAGCATCACATCGAAATAGTAAGATGCTTACGGTTGCCAATGCGCATGCGCGATTAGAGAGAGGAAGCTAGCGGTCTCTCATCTTCTTTCTCTTTCTATTTTTTTTAATACACACCAATTAGCCTAGCCCCAAAGTAAGCACTATAAGGCTTGTGTTATGGGATACTAGGGTAACGGATAGAATACAATATATACCTTACATATATAAGTATATTTATATAGAAATTTATTTTAAACATCCATGACTGGAGCACAAATGCTCATGTTCATCACACAAACATCTGCCCCCACCGGGGTTCGAACCTGGGACCTTTCGAGTAGGCGACGCCATGTAACCCGGCGTTCAAACCACTCGGCCATGGAGGTCGTCAAATTAGAGAGGGACACTTCCACTTGTAGTAGAGTTTATATCTCCCCTACTCTATTCTTATACCTCTATGGTTTTTTGGCGTTGGCAAAAATCTGCCATTTACACAGATACAAGGGTTACTAGGATTTATCACCTGATCGGAGGAGCTCGATGGCGCAAGTGGTTAGCGCGTTCGGCTGCGATCGTTGAAGTTAAGCAACTTTCGCAGTGGTCGGTCATTGGATGGGTGACCAAAAATCACTATCTCGAGCTCCTCCGTGCTTCGGAAGGCACGTTAAGCCGTTTGTCCCGGCTGCATCTGCAGTCGTTAGCACCCACTAATCCGCACTGGGCCCGCGTGGTGGGTCATGGCCCAAATCTCCCTAATCTATCCATAGGGAAGGCCTGTGCCCCAGCAGTGGGGACATTAATAGGCTGATGATGATGATGATGATGATGACCTGGTTGCGTTGGTGCGTGGCGTGGTGCTGCAGCCGCGTTATCTGCCGCTGCAGCTGCAGTGCCAGCTGCTGATATCGAGACAATTGATCCGACAGTTCCCTCTCGGCAGCTGATACGCCGCAACTGCCGCGCAGTTCGCGAACTACCGTTGAGCATCTGAAATTACCGTTTTGTCGTTACTTTAAACTTCAAATCTATACTTATAATAAAATCATAACTATAATTGCTATTTCTTCTTTCAAATGTTTAATACTTGAAAAAGTATTCATTTGACATTGTGGGTTACCTACAATGCGAAGAGATGGCGCTGCCTTGCAGCTTAATGCTAGGAAAATTTCGACGCGGCTAATAGGGCCGTGGTAGCATAATGGTCAGTGCATTCGCCCGGATAGCGAAGGATGCGGGTTCGAGTCCCGTCCGCTGCCTGGTCCGCGTGGATATTTTTCTAGTAAACTTTTCTTTAGATTTAAACATCTAGCAGTTAAATGCTTAAAAAATAAATAAAATCATATCTATACATATAATAAAATGGTAGGAAAGTCAAAACTGTACGTTGAATATTTTTTTTTGTGTGTTCTTAATAAAAATAACCTTAATAAATCAATAATAGCAGTATTTGTTAAAGATAATGTTCTTGTTCTCCTTTCATTTTCATTAATGTTAAACGATATGGTATAAATGTTGTGTATATCTATAATTGGCAAACATATGTAATCAGTAAAATTATCCTCTATCTTGTATGTTATGCTGTTGATGTACCTATAAATAAATAAATATGTCTACAATCGATGACGAAGCTAAAAATATAGTTTTTAGAGTTTTTGTCTGTTTGTCTGTATGTATGTACGGGATAAACTCAAAAACAAAAAAATCGTAACTAAAATGGGAAGTAGCACCATAAAAATAAAAACATATTCATAAAATAATATTTTCTAGGAGGATATCAGAAAATATTATTTTATGAATATGTTTTTATTTTTATGGTGCTACTTCCCATTTTAGTTATGATTTTTTTGTGAGAAAAAAAACTTTGAACATTGTTTCTGTACAGTTACTAAAGTGGCGTTTAAGCGATTCTGCTTTTCCACTGTCGATATATAAAAATAAATGACTTAGTATTGACCACTTTAAAGTGTTACATAGTGACTTTAAGAATTAGATGACAATCTCTCGGCCTGCCAGCCATTTTTTGTCAAGCAAACATCAAATCATACGTCAAATAGTAAGGCGTAAGCGCCATTGGTTCAAATACAAAAAAGTTTATGTCGCTTCAGCGTTGTGAACAATCATTTTGAATAGACTTTTCGGTGCAACACTGTTCAACCATAGACAACAGACAATTCCCATCTTGCGACTCAAGTTTTTATTTTAAAATTTTCATACATTTATAAAGAAGTTAGTGCTATAAAAGATAGTGATTTAATAAGTCAAACCCCCTGAAATGCAAATGAATGTATTGAGGAAAACAATTTGGTGAGTCATTGCGTGGGAATTATTAGAAGGTAAGAAGTGTGTGTTTACTTTTGGTATAAATTCTTTGGAACAGACTTAAGTAACGAAAATATGCTCAAAATTCCCACAATTACCAGTTCATTCAACTTTCCATTATAACATTTCATGCTTTTTAACCTTTGTGTTTTCGATGATCGCGTTTTATACTCACCCAGAAGGCGTTTTAGTAGGTAAATGAGAAAGAGATAGAGAGAGAGAGAGGGGGGGGGGGGGGGAGAGGGAGAGAGAGGTAAATGATAACTTACCTATATTTGAAGTCGTCTTGATGTTTCTCTGCCAGCATACACTTTTCCTTGAGTGCTGTAGACTGAATTTGTACTTCCTCCACATCTTGCTACAACAAATATGTAAATTCATATCATTGTTACATTGTTGAACACTTTTTCTTAATTATATTATGTTATGTCATACAAATAACACATACAAATTGAACGTTATTGTACAATCAGATGCTTTAAATTTCATTGAAATGTGGTTTGAAAATTCGCATTTCAAAAAGGTCGAAATCTACAGATACGGCGTTGAAACTTCAAATTAAAATCTTCTCCAATTTTTGAATATTAACCTGCTTTCTAGGTGTATTATTTTCAGTGTCGCGCAAGAAAAATATACTAACAAATAATAAAATTTAACAAATTCACTATGTTTTATGAAATCCTTATCAAAATTTTATTTTTCTAACCTTTTATTGAATGAAGTCATTTTTATAAATTATACCAATTAACATTATCAGAAAGAATAATGGGCAAGTTAAATAGTAAACTTTTTAGATTAATCGGGAATTTCCGTACGCTTCTCTGATCTTCAAGATGGGCGCGTAAACTGAGCAGTTGTCTCGATATAAATAAATCATAATACGTTGTCATAGCAACTTATTCGGTCAAAATATATGTTTTACGATGAATTTTTGCTATCCAATATTCAACCTTAAGCGAGTCCCAAATCAAAAACCGCGATTGTACATAAAATAAACATTCTGTTATAGTATCTGTAAATCATGATCGAGTCACTGTTTGATATATTTATATATATACATATGTGTTTATTTAAGATATATGGTATAATAGCTGTAAATCTCCCTGCCACTGTTTGCGTTGAATTGTGAGTGCGTTCTGCGCCCTTAGATTAGTGAATAATTCACAGTAAGGTATTATTGGCTAGATATATATATACATATATATATATATATATATCTTTATATATATAATTCTTCTGTGAGTGTGTATGTCACTGAACTTCTCTTAAACGACTGGACCGATTTTGATGAAATTTTTTGTGTGTGTTCAAGGGGATCTGAGAATGGTTTAGAATCACAATTTTGTCCGCTGGACAACCCCTATTTTTTAGGGCGGTACGAAGTTCGCTGGGTCAGCTAGTCTTTATATATATAATTCTTCTGTGAGTGTATGTCACTGAACATCTCTTAAACGACTGGACCGAATTTGGTGAATTTTTTTGTGTGTGTTCAAGGGGATCTGAGAATGGTTTAGATTCACAATTTTGTCCGCTGGACAACCCTATTTTTTTTAGGGCGGTACGAAGTTCGCTGGGTCAGCTAGTATATTTATATAAGATATATGTAACAATGCCTGTAAGTCTTGCAGCCACTGTTTGTGTTGAATTTTAAGTGCGTTCTGCGCCCTTATTTTAGTGAATAATGCACCAGTATTATTGGCTAGAAATATATATGTTTATATAAGATATATGTCACAATACCTGTAAATCTTGCAGCCACTGCTTGTGTTGAACTTTGAGTGCATTTTGAGCCCGTAGTTTGGTAAGTAATGCATCAGTAGCACGTTGCTGTCGCGACATATATTCTCCTCTAAAGCGCAAAGTCGCTTGCGTTAGAAACTGTTACAGAAAACACATAATTCATTAAGTGCAGTTGCCTATATTGAGATAAAAGAGATCGATGATTCTTCTAAGTACAAATACAAACGAAAGTATTAATTAATAAGATTTCAAAATACCAATGGGGTTTTAATGAAATAGTAACAATTTGTGAATTGCTTATTAATAACTGATAAAAATTTAGCTATGAGAACTCAATTTGAAAATATAATAAAAATATAATCAATATTTTTTTATATTATATTTAATAAATGATGACCTACAACAAAATTAATATACTGTGTTTCCATTTCGTGTCCTAATTAATGCTCAATAATGAGTAAAATGCACCAAATTTCAGTATTTTAAGGAATTTTAATCTTGACCACGTGAGTTTCGGTTTCGGTTTCGGCCGAAACTGAAGCCACGGCCGAATATTCGGTTTCGGCTTCGGCCGGAAAACCAGTTTCGGTCGGACTCTAATAAATACCCCATATTATGTCCGTACTGACTTGCAGCATATGATTGAGGATTTCCTGCACTATGCTGCTGAAGGAGAGCTTCTGTCTATGGCACAATCAGGGGTATAAATACTCTATATTATATCAGTACTAACCTGCAGCATATGATTGAGGATCTCCTGCACTATGTTGCTGAAGGAAAGGTTCTGTCTATGTCACAATCAGGGTTATAAATACCCCGTATTATGACAGTACTGACCTGCAGCATATGATTGAGGATCTCCTGCACTATGCTGCTGAAGGAAAGATTCTGCCTCTGGGACAATAATGGGTATAAATAACCCGAGGATCTCCTGCACTATGCTGCTGAAGGAGAGCTTCTGTACTATGCTGCTGAAGGAGAGCTTCTGTCTATGGCACAATCAGGGGTATAAATACTCTTTATTATATCAGTACTAACCTGCAGCATATGATTGAGGATCTCCTGCACTATGTTGCTGAAGGAAAGGTTCTGTCTATGTCACAATCAGGGGTATAAATACCCCATATTATGACAGTACTGACCTGCAGCATATGATTGTGGATCTCCTGCACTATGCTGCTGAAGGAGAGCTTCTGTCTATGGCACAATCAGGGTTATAAATATCACATATCATATCAGTACTGACCTGCAGCATATGATTGAGGGCGGGCGGCTGTTCCTTGTTCAGGTTGAGGATCGGCTGAGACACTTCACGACTGAGAATCTCTTGTACTATGCTGCTGAAGGAAAGCTTCTGTCTCTGGGAATTAAAGTATACAGAAATATATTTAAGTATCTCAGGCCCACTTGTAACAATTTAGCTAAATCTCGAATAAACGTGATAGCAATAGACTTAAAAGCCGAATTTAAGAACAAATCTCATGGGAAAGAACATATACTACATGGCCCCTCGAATATATAAAAGACTTACGACATATTAAAAATAATTAAATTACATAAGCAGAAAATTAAAAAGATATTAATTGATAAATCTTATAATGGTGTGTCGGAATGCCAGATTTTGAATGTAATTTATGTATTATTATTATTTTTTTAACCAATATTATTGACATTTGCCTATTAAATAAAAATATAAGATTATATCTACTTTATCAATTAGAATTCTGATTAAGGCACATGTGTATTTATCAAATTATCACATCTTTCTTACACATGTTACAAATATTTCTTTCTTTCCGTACTTTTAAAAGTTATTACGCCTCGGCAGTCGTAAGCACCCACCAATCCGCAATGGCGGGTGGTGGGTCATGGCCCAATCTCCCTTTTCCACCCATATGGAAGGCCTGTACCCCAGCTGCGGGGACACTAATAAGCTATAGATTTAAGTTACCTCTTTGAGTAATTTATCAATATCGTCTTGTTCCAAGGCCGGATTTTTCAACTGTAGTTCTTTGTACAACTGCTCTTCCAGGTCGTAAGGTTCTATGGTTCTGTGAATAAATATTTATTAATTTATACTTAATTGCACAAATTAGTATACAAGTGGCGGACTTAATGCCATAAGGCATTCTCTACCAGTCAAGCGAAGAATTATAGCAAAGATCTTAAGAAGGTAGTGCAAAAAGAATTCATCAAATTAATTATTATAATTAAAGTATATCTTTTATTATAAACTACAGTATATTGGCTGTTAGAGGTGTAAACTCAATTCAACGTTGTCTCTGACAAATGTTTTCTTAGTAACGTAAAAAACGAGCAGACTCGTGGAAAACAAGTTACACAAGCTATTTTGTATTTTCATTTTTCTCCAATATGGTAGCAGAACCTTAAGATTGAGAGTATTTTATTTTACGGTTTTGTTTCTTTATTCTATACTAGCGGTGCCCCGGGGTGTTATCAGCGGTTTGTCATCGCACTAAAACGTAGCCTATGTGTTAATCCAGGGTGTCATCTAACTCCATAGCAAATTTTATTAAAATCGCTACAGTCGTGTAGAGGTTAAGAAGAAACAAACATACACACTCACAAACTTTCACCTTTATAATATTAGTATATAAAAACACTAGCTTCTTTCAAATATTTAATACTTGTAAAAGTATTTATTTGACATTGTGGGTTACCTACAATGCGAAGAGATGGCGCTGCCTTCCAGCTTAAGAAAGGCCAGAAAGAATTCAACACGGCCATCAGGGCCGCGGTAGCGTAATGGTCAGTGGCTAGAAGAATTTCGACACGGTCATCAGGACCGCGGTAGCATAATTGGTCAGCGCATTCGCCCGGATAGCGAAGGGTGCAGGTTCGAGTCCCGTCTGCTGCCTGGTCCGCGTGGATTTTTTTCTAGTTATATTTTATTTAGATTTAGAGTTCTACTAATTACCTTGGCAGTAGCGTTGAATCAGGGCACAGCACCAACACTTTAGCTAAAGGAGCGGGGGAAATAACCACCCCCGCGGGGGGATCCACTCTCCCCGTAGTGGAAGTGCACACAATATGGCGCGCCGTACTGGGCTGGGAGCACAGCGACGATAGCGCTGTGTCAGCATCCGCTGAAATAATCATATTATCATCATCAAGTATCTACGTTTAACATTCCATGACGCTATTGGCTGAGCACTCAAGGACGGCGTTACGAAAATCTGTGATAGTATGGTAAGCCTCCATCGCGCTAACGAAATTTCGAGGCGCACACACCAAATATAAGAACCTTACCAATACCAACAATAATCTTCTACGACAACGGCTAACTAGAGCCGAGGTCCGAGTCTCAGAGACGCCCTCTAGTTGAGCCGACCCCCTCAGGTGCTTGTGGTCTAGAGGCTCCAGACGGAGAGGAGACTCCCCCCGTGGGGAGATGCCATCCGCCTGGTATACCTCTAGAGGCACTCGACAATTCTCGGCTTGAGGTCCCCTTAGGATCTCGCCGTTCCCAAGCCCGGTGACGCTGTAAAGGTCATGTGCGGACAACAGCATACACATTCAAAAAAAAAATACCAAAAACAGTCAAGCGAGATAGATTGCTTAGCTAGATACGAAGAGATTACTTCTCCTCGACCTACTCCCGAAGAGCTTATCTTTCCTATAGACCTTAGTACAGATGGAATAGACAATTTAGGCCATGATCCAGGACTACAGAATTTAGTAGCGTAATAATGACGATATTTTTTAAAAATATATCATGACGTTTCAGGGCACATGTAGTAGAAGTGCACACAATATATATAGTAGAACTAGCTGACTCGGCGAACTTCGTACCACCCAAAAGTAATAATTTGCAATAAATTAAAATTGCGACTATAATTTGAGATTTAAACTATCCTATCTCTCAAGTTGGAACGAACTGCACATGGTGTGCGAATTTTATTATAATCGGTTCAGTGGTTTAGGAGTCCATTGAGGACAAACATTGTGACACGAGATTTATATATATTAAGATTTATTAATGGAACTGCTACAATTACCCTGTTTTTTGCGACTGACCTGATATTTTGGCCTTGTTGCAAGCACCATAATCACGGAGTTACTGTTACCAGTGCCATAATCACAGAGTTACTGTTACCAGTGCCATAATCACAGAGTTACTGTTACCAGTGCCATAATCACGAAGTTAATGTTACCAGTGCCATAATCACAGAGTTACTGTTACCAGTGCCATAATCACGAAGTTAATGTTACCAGTGCCATAATCACAGAGTTACTGTTACCAGTGCCATAATCACGGAGTTATTGTTATCATTCGTCATAAAAAAACAAATAGGAGTGAATTATCTTTTGAAAATCTAACTGACGGACTAAATAAAATTTCGTTCACCTCGTTCATCATCACCCCTATAACCGTGCCCTCCCCCCCCCCCCCTCTTTCCAGTCTCTCTGATTCATCGACAGGGAAGGCCAGTGCCCCAGCAGTGGGGTCATTAATGCCTAGCCTAGTGCAGACACCAGTCTCGGGACAGGTTAAATTATTTGTTAATTAAGTCTTTGTAATATTTCTTGAGAGAAATAAATAGTAGATTATTATTATTGATAATAGGCTGATGATGATGAAGAAGACACACTTAATGTGTAATAGGGGTGATGACGGGATACAGTAAACGAAATTCTATTTAGTACGTCAGTTAAATGATCAAAAAATAATGGACACGTATTTTTTCTTTGGGCAATCAACCAAAAAATGACAAAGTTATAGCGCGTCAAAGATTGGGAGTGGGGGCTCGTGACGTCACTTTTGAGTGAATTTTCACTTATAAGTGTACTCAAACGTGACGTCATGCGACTTTTCTAATCAATATATCTCTGCAATGTTTATATTATGTGAAAAAAGAAAAAATACGTGTCCAATACTTTTTGATAATCTACCTGATAAACGAAGAAAAGAAAATTAGTCATCATCCCTATTATTCTCACCTTCGTCCGCGAGCGCGTAGTCCTTGAGATGCGCCAGTATGGGTAATGTCACAGTATGGACTCCGCCAGCATGTACACAAGCGTACGTATTGCCCGTGCACTGGAAATTGACAAAAAGAAATAATTAATTTACCTTTTAATAAGTTTAAAGTGTGTATAAAAACATGTCTCCTTAAGAAAGGTTACTATGATACGTCACCTTAATAATCTCTTAGGGCTTAATATAATAGACGAAGTCGTTTTACTTTGCTAATTTGGTTAAAAATTGTTTAATCGCCACTTTTAAATTTAAAAATAGTACCTAGCTATACTTAACTTTTGTTAATTAATAATATTATTGATGATGATGATAATGGAAATTGACATCAATACATGTTTTTAATTTTTGATGTCATCTTTCAATTGACGACACTGTATGAAACAAAACAGAGAGAAAAAAATAGCCCTTGCTGAGTTTCTTGCCGGTTCTTCTCAGTACAAGGTTTCCCGCCGTAGATTTACGAACTGATGGCGTAGCGTTTGACTTTCACAAGAGCTTGTAACAGGCCTAGACTGAATAAATTAGTTTGAGTTTGAATATTAACAAAGTGTTACCTAACTTTCAGAGGCTATTTGATTTTTATATATATAACCAGGTAGGCAAATGACTCTACCCCGCCTGATGTTAAGTGGTGATACAGTCCAAACGCGAAGATAACCGGTACAGCAGTTATAAACTGCCACACCAACCATCCTCACCTTGTCTTTTTTTTTTTTTATAACGCAGGTAAAAAATGCTATTTACATACGACGGCGCCTTTAAGAGGCACACCGCCGAACGGACCTCACACCTGGCTCCCGCAAGTCTTACGGGCGCCCCAGTGGCTGTCCACCGAGGACCCCGCAACCCTTACGGGCGCTTTACGGCATAATATCCGCTAAAAAAGTCCTGCGAATACCCTCTAAGCTGCTTAGCGCGAAGCCGCGGGATTCCCGTTTAGGGATTCTTCCGCGTCTCCGCACCTAGCAGCCTCCCGGCCTAGCCGGGGCTCCACGGCAGGGGTCTCCCGGGGTATCGCGGGGACCCCGCAGACGTGCGCGGGTAGGCCCACGCGTGGGGTCTGAGTACGCGGCCTAGTGCCCACCGTACCGTCCCCCGTCCGCTGCGGAGGGCTACTTGGGCGTGCCCGTGTAGCTCCCTCCGCCGCCCCCCTCTTTGCAGGACAGAACTACAAGGGGAGGCTGCCGTCACGGGGTCCGTCGGTGGCCGGCACAGCCAACGCTGCACAGCTATCGCTGCGGAGCATGGTGGAGGCTCCGCAGCGAGAGGGCTCCGCATCCCAGCGCCGCAATGAGCTCACGGCGCTGGTGTCGCCAGGCCGGGCACTCACTCACCTGCAGAAATGCTTCTTCACGCCTCTCTTATAGGACCCCAGATTGTAGGAAGGAGGAGACACGTGCGCGGGCAAAGAATTCCACTTACGAATAATACGACAAAGTAATGAGTCACCTCATTTCTTTGTTCGTGTAGGAATTGTGGTCACAGTAAGTCGGTGGTAACGTAGGCCAGCGCGCGTGGTCCTATGTAGAAAAGGTGTTGGAGGAATAAAAGAGAATAAATTTTAAATTGATTTGACAGTATGAAAAATAATGTACCAATTGTTGGCATTTGTATTTAATATGATTATTGGCAGCGATTTTACTATTCTGAAAGCACAAATAATTAAAAACTTATCTATAATATCGTTAAATAGAAATGATTTTTCGCTCCAAACGCCTATGATTGGTAAAGACTAAAATGACGTCACACGGTAGTAAACTTCCTGCCAAAGTGACATTACATTGTATCGTTTGCCGTTTTAATGACAGTCGAGTGACAGTCACATACTAGTGAGACGCCATAATGTCCAGAGAAACGGTTTTGAGGCAATTTGAAATTTTAAGTTAATTTTTTTACTGCATTATCCAACAGAATTAAAAATATCCACTTTTTATGGACTCCATGAACATTAGTAAATAACGTGACCGTTTTCTAAATCTCGTCAAATACCCTACTTCTGGTTATGTTTTCACGCACCGCGATCATTTAATAGAATAGTTTTAGAAACGAGTATTATAAAGTGCGACGAATTAGATTTTCTTTGTATTAAAGGCGGAATAGGGTATTTGACAAGTTTTAGGCAGCGATCTCACGTTATTGACTAATGTTTATGGAGTCCGTAAAAAGTGGATATTCATCATTCTGTTGTGTATTTCAGTAAAAATAACCAAATCAAAAACTCCATTTTCAAGTTGCCGTAAAAACGTTTCTCTGGACAATATGGCGTCATATTAGTGTGTGACGTCACACGACTGTTATTAAAAGGTCAAACGATACAATGTAATGTCACTTTAATCGGAAGTTTACTTGCGTGTGACGTCATTTTAGGCTTCGCCAATCCCTGGCGTTTCGGGTCACAATAGACAGGAAAACTATTTTCTCTTTCGTGGGTTTTTAGTAAAATAATGCATATTTTTTTTGGAATAATAGTAAAAACCCCTGCCTATATTCATTCTAAATACAGATGCTAACAAACGGCACTTTATTTTTAATACTGTCAAATACCCTATTAGACAGTTCATCAAAGAAAATTGCAAAAATGGATCATCATTTTTGCAATGATTTGTGAATGATAAATAGTAAACATCACTTTTGATGAAAGCTAATATTCCATTCCTTATGGAATTCCCGCATGAACATTATCTGTGTTAAGTTATTTAATTAAGGAATAAATGCCGAGACAGTGAAAGAAATAAACTGTGTATGAGCTGTCACTATTTGGACATTTCACTTGGCGTTCATTGCCGATGAATGATGACAGATGCATGATCGACGTTAGTGAAAACAATCGGGAGTCGGAAGCTTTCATCGCGAAAGCACATTTAAATGAACGTAAATTTAGACATTTCATTTACAGTCTTCCATCGATGAAGCATCGAAAATGAAAGCAAAAACGAACCGTCTAATTTCAACTTTATTCTTGAAGTTTTAAACTTTTTACAGGCTCCGAACGAAAGACAACGACGAAGACAGAAGGTCAAGAAAAATGGGAATAAAATAGGATATATACCGTGTTTTATACCATTATTACCATTTAAAAAGTTGATTTAATGAATTATATTTTTATTTAAGGATTAAGCTGCTAGTCTTTTCTCCCATTGTAATTTTGGAAATCGGTAAAAATAAAATATATCCAGCCTCATGTATTACTTAGGCCGAGTTAATATTTTTTTAAGGTCAAAAAAGTACCTCGAGTAACACTTTTTTGACATTTGTTATACATTATGATTTCTATATTAATATACATTTAAATCATTTGTACCGATTACCTGAAACATTGCGTAATAAAAGAAGTTTTCGTATTAAATCTAAAAAAAGTTTACTAGAAAAAAATCCACGCGGACCAGGCAGCGGACGGGACTCGAACCCGCAATCCGGGTGAATGCACTGACCGTTATGTTACCACGGCCCTATTCGCCGCGTCGAAATTTTCCTAGCCTTAAGCTGCAAGGCAGCGCCATCTCTTCGCATTGTAGGTAACCCACAATGTCAAATGAATACTTTTTCAAGTACTAAACATTTGAAAGAAGAAATAGCAAACATCTAGCATTAAACATTTAGCAGCAGTTAAATGCTCAAAAAATAAATAAAAACATAAGTTTTCGTATTTCCTGATAGGATATCCCCGTAGCATGAGCACCAAAATTTACAATTATAATACGTTTATTATCGCGCCTAATTGTCAAATTCTAGAGTAATTTGACAATTGAGCATAATAAAAACACAGAACACAGAAAGAGGAGGCTTTGTGGGCTTGCCAGGCGTGCCACAGTTATGTGTAAGCAAATCATAATTTGACCAAAACTTGGTTCTGATTACTCTCGGGTTTAGCGATTGGTTCGATGATTATTTTATGTCGCATCGTTTGATTGGCTATTATCTATTAGTTGGAACTGTAGTGCGAGCCGGTGACATCGGTTCCCGCACAAACAGTCTATCATCAGCCCTCTAACCTCTTTCTATGTTCTGTGGATAAAAATGAGCTATTTATCATGTCGCGGTGATCACACTGGTATTTTTTACATATGTTTATTATGATGTATGGAATCTGAGCGATGTCTCACCGGGTACAGATGCACCGGGTAGGAATACTGCATGTGCTCATCGTCAGGACCTAAAGTAATGTTCAGCTCCACAGCTTCCACCACGTAGAGGGCGTGAGTGTCGCCATCTTCTTTGTCCACGCCCTGAAATATGAGGATACATAAACAATCATATTAATATATTTAAATAATAAATTTGAACACCCTGTAACAAGAGGAAATACCTTTCTACCAGGGTTCTATGATATGATATACGTACATAATTATCTTGATATTTAGGGCTATCTGCACCAACATCTTTATCATTTTTTTTAATTCGCATCTATATAGAACGAGTCTTAAACATGTTTTGAGCCTTTTATATAAGGCTTCCTAAAAACCTTATTATTCAAAGTGACTAATGAGAAAGTGGAATGAAAGGCCGCTGAGTAAAAGTCTCTCATAAGCTAATGCTGTACCTAATAACATTTCCAATAACGAGTACACTTCCATCGGACTCCATAGTTTCATTTATAGTCTGTTATGAAACCTGTGCCTATATAGAAGGGTCTACTTAGAGTAGGCAGTAGCAGCCAGTAGTATAAGGCAGCGGAACAAGTAGCCACAACTAGTAGAGGCTGATAGGTACTGCAAGAATTCGTGCTCCGTACCTTAGTTATCGATTATCTGAGTCTATTAGCCTGTTACTGAACCTTTTTGCCTATATACAAGAGTCTACTTACAGTAGGCAGTAGCAGACAGTCCATCTTCATGCTACTAAACGGGGCAAGACATTATTCGCCTTGTCAATTGATGGCACTACTAGCGGAGCGTTTATTGATGGTCATATTAAATCGAAGAATTGATTGAAGATCACCTAGCCCGGAGAATGATCTTTCCTTTAAGTCTTCTTAAAGATAGATATGGAGAAGTGTTACTAATGAGATTGTTGCTGAAGAGACCGCTAAATAATAATCCCGCAGAAGCTTGCTGGACCTATAATCTTTTCAAAGAAGTACATTGCTATCGGATCTCGTGGCTTCATCTACAGCCTATTATTGAAGTTGTGCCTATATACAAGGGTCTACTTACAGTAGACAGCAGCAGACAGTGGTATAAGGCAGCGGAACAAGTAGCCACAACTAGTATCGGCGGAGTGTCTCCGACGGCTCCGCCCAGTGCTGTTATACTGCAAGACTCCGTGCCGTAGTTATCGTATAACTGAGTCTTTAGCATGTTATTGAACCTATGCCTATATAAAAGGGTCTACTTACAGAAGGCAGCAGCAGACAGTGGTATAAGGCAGCGGAACAAGTAGCCACAACTAGTAGAGGTGGCGTGTCCGCCGGCTCCGCCCAGTGCTGTTATACTGCAGGACTCCGTGTAGTAGTTATCGTATAACTGAGTCTTTAGCATGTTATTGAACCTATGCCTATATAAAAGGGTCTACTTACAGTAGGCAGCAGCAGACAGTAGTATAAGGTAGCGGAACAAGTAGCCACAACTAGTAGCGGCGGAGTGTTTGCGCCGGCTCCGCCCAGTGCAAGACTCCGTGCCGTAGTTATCGTATAAATGAGTCTTCAGCCTGTTATTGAACCTGTGCCTATATACAAGGGTCTACTTACAGTAGGCAGCAGCAGACAGTGGTATAAGGCAGATGTAGTCACAACTAGTAGCGGCGGACTGTCTCCGCCGGCTCCGCCCAGTGCTGTTATACTGCAAGACTCCGTGCCGTAGTTATCGTATAACTGAGTCCTCAGACTGTTATTGAACCTGTGCCTATATACAAGGGTCTACTTATAGGAGGCAGCAGCAGACAGTGATATAAGGCAGCGGAACAAGTAGCCACAATTAGTAGCGGGGGAGTGTCTCTGCCGGCACCGCCCCGTGGTGTTATACTGCAAGACTCCGTACCGTAGTTATCGTATAATTGAGTCTTCAGCCTGTTATTGAAGCTATGCCTACATATTATAATCCACTAACCGTAGACAGCAGCAAATAGTGGTATAAAGCAGCGGAACAAGTAGCCACAATTAGTAGCGGGGGAGTGTCTCTGCCGGCACCGCCCCGTGGTGTTATACTTCAAGATTCCGTGCCGTAGTTATCGTATAACTGAGTCTTCAGCCTGTTATTGAATCTGTGCCTATATACAAGGGTCTACTTACAGTAGGCAGCAGCAGACAGTGGTATAAGGCAGCGGAACATGTAGCCACAACTAGTAGAGGTGGCGTGTCTCCGCCGGCTCCGCCCAGTGCTGTTATACTGCAAGACTCCGTGCCGTAGTTATCGTCCGCGGGCGGGTACATTGCCAACGGACCCGATAGTTTGGGCTGATGACCGCTGACAAAATAAAACGGAGATATTTATCAGATTATAGTAAAGGTAAGTTCGGGCTGACAAACTGTGATTGGATGGTGCAGTACGTATTATTCCTGCATGAGCTAACATCTGGATTCCTTTTTACTTAACTTTACATAAGGTGAGGTAAATTAGTTTGCTAGGTTTTTCTATTTAAGCTTCTTTTTAAATACCACCAGGTGGTTTACATAAAAGAAAGTTATATTTTTATTTTTTAAGCATTTAACTGACTAGATGTTCTGCTTGGATTTTTTTCTCGTAAAATTTTCTTTAGATAAAAAAGTTATTAACTGGTAATAAGACAACATCGTCGGCTCGCCCAAAAGATGTCCAGAGATGGGGGAATAATGTATATCTTTAAAGCGACTGACCATTTCTTTTGTTTTTTTCTTAAGTTATAGATAAAAATAATGACGACTCAGACATTGAACAAAGAAATACCGTAGAATGATCATTATCATTATCAGCCTATTAATGTCCCCATTGCTGGGGCACAGGCCTTCCCTATGGATGGAATAGAAAGATTGGACAATGACCCACCACGCGGACCCAGTGCAGATTGGCGGGTACTAACGATGCAGCCAGGACCAATGGCTTAACGTGCCTTCCGCAGCACGGAGGAACTCGAGATAGAAGATTTAGGCCACCCATCTAATGACCGAATATTGCGAAAGTTGCTTAGCTAGTATAATGATACAATAGCTTAAAACAGGATTAATATTAGCAAATTGTTTGAAGATTTGCAGGCTAAACCTGAAAAAGTTGATTGAGATTCGATGGCGCTGGCAAAAACAAAGAACAGAGCCTGTTTCATTCTCCTTTTATTTTCAGGGTCTCGCGTTGCCTCGAGTCTTAATTTTGAGAAGCAGTAGGGACGAGGCCATTACCTTTTGGTAGCGTTGTTTCATTGGAGGTATTTAAAGATTACAGAGCACCACGGAACAAAATATGGAACCTTCAATATATATTAGACGGTGAGATCTGTCTGTTTGCCATTCTCGTTGTCCAAAAAATCCCTTACCTTTTCCCTTCCAGATTGCATTCCATCATGTACACGTCTCCATTGCCTTTTAGTATGACCAGGTGTTCAGCGTCAGGTGTGGGCGTGAAGTCTACGCCGGTGTCTCCAAGGCTGTCCAGGATAGTCTTTCCAGCTAGAAGACCGGAAGGTTTTGGTCCGATGGTGAAGATCTTGACCAGTTTTGGGCCAGTCTTCATAGCTACGTTGTATAATCTGAAGTTTAAATAATCACATAAAATTGTTATCAATTTGAGTCGTTTGTTTAGTGTTTTGGAGGAGCTCAATGGCGCAAGTTAAAAGCGTGTTCGGCTGCGATCATTGAAGTCAAAAATGGAAGCCAAAATCGTAAATTTTTTAGCACTCATCTAATGACTGACCGCTGCGAAAGTTGCTTAACTTATTTGATGACAGGCCGCATGCGCTGCTTCTTCGGACCAAGTATAAGCGTAGCGAAATTCTAGACACAATTACATGCTTTAAACATTATATTAGAAACAAAAATATGACATTGTCAACTGTCAAAAATAACGACAATATTTCATGATTATTTAAAATTACAAAATAATTTCACCTGATAGTGTTGTCTGATACGAGCACTAATAAGTGTGAGAAGGACGTCGGATGCCACTGTACTCTTCGCACCTCCGTTTGAGAATACAGGAATCTCTCGTCAAGTGTATGGCTCCTGTAACAATGAAATAAAATTCTAATAACTTGGACTTGGTAATATCCTTTAACTTATTATTAGGAGCTATACGTTTCCCTAAAAAATTGTGTTGACAATATTCTGTCGCCAACTAATGTAAACGATACATTTGTTTTATATTAGAAAAGCGATATTCATCTATTAAACACGAAAAATAAAAATAAGTTTGCTGTTCCAACTTTTAGATTACAAAAAACACAACACTCAGCTTTGATTTTACATACACCCTAAAACCGTATTAACTGCACCAAAGCGGCGCAAAAATATCTACTACATATGGTAGGTAAGCTCGTCGCTACACAAGCACAAATTAGTGTCGTGCACACATTGAGCATGAACCGTTTTCTTTGCGAGATTTATTTGGCGTATAACAAATCAAAGATTTCTAGATTATATATAAAGTCACTATTTACCTTTCAAACAGAGCGTCATAATCTTCTTATATGCCGCGCCATCAATTTCGCATTTGTAATCCACTCACTAACGTTTCTTACTAAGCTTTTTAACGTATCTTTTCTAGCTAAAGAAAATTTTGCTAGAAAAAATTCCACGCGGACCAGGCAGCAGACGGGACTCGAACCAGCACCCTTCGATATCCGGGCGCATGCACTGAATCACCAATAAGCTACCTTGCGCGGCCCTAACGGCCGTGTCGAATTCTCTCTAGCCTTTCTTAAGCTGCAAGGCAGCCATCTATTCGCATTGTAGGTAACCCACAATTTTCTTCATCTAGCAGTTACATGCTTAAATATATACGTATGTATTCTGGTTTTATTTCATAGTCGATTGCGATACAGATCAGATAAAATTCAAAATATCAAAGAAGTCAGAAGAAGGCGACCAAGCATATAGCTCGCCTGATGGTAAGACGTCTGGGCCACCATAGCCTATAGATGCTTGCAGTACAAATAATATCAACAAGCTTGCCGTTCCATGTTTCAGACTCCAAAAATCAAGAGGTTCATTTCTAGGTTGTAATATTGCATTGTTTAATAAAGTTCCCCAAGATCTGATTGAGCTTCTACTGACCAAATTTAAATCTCAGATCAAGAATACTCTTATGAATAAGGGCTATTATAAAGTTGATGATTATTTAAATGATTGTAATGCATGGACATAGTGTTTCTTGTAATTTGTTATTTGATGGGTATTGGTCATTTTTCATAAGAGTAATATTGTACCTATCTAATGCCGCTTCCTGTATACTAAATATAAAGTTAATTAAAAAATGTATTGTAACTATATATTTATATTCTAAATGATGTAATGGAGGATGACTTCAGACGTATCTCTGTAGTCATTTTTCAACTTGACGACGAGAAAAAAACAGCCATTGCTGAGTTTCTTGCCGGTTCTTCTCGGTACAAGGTCTCCCGTCGCAGTTTTGCGAACCGATGGCGTAGCTTCTTGACCTTCACAAGTGCTTGTAACAGCCTAAACTGAATAAATGACTTTTCATTTCATTTCATATCACTCGCAACATTGCCTTTTTTTTTTAATACGCAGGTAAAAAATCTATTTACAGACGACGGCGCCTTTAAGAGGCACACCGCCGAACGGACCTCACACCTGGCTCCCGCAAGTCTTACGAACCCCCCAGTGGCTGCCCACCGAGGACCCCGCAACTCTTACGGGCGTTTTACGGTATAATATCCGCTAAAAAAGTCCTGCGAATACCCTCTAAGCTGCTTAGTGCGAAGCCGCGGGATTCCCGTTTAGGGTTCTCCGCGTCTCCGCACCCAGCAGCCTCCCGGCCTTAGCCGGGGCTCCACGGCAGGGGTCTCCCGGGGTATCACGGGGACCCCGCAGACGTGCGCGGGTAGGCCCGCGCGTGGGGGCTGAGTACGCGGCCTAGTGCCCACCGTACCGCCCCCCGTCCGCTGAAAACCCTGACCCAATCCCGTACCCCGTGGAGCCCTGGAACCACCGGCAGAAACACAACACCACCAAAAGGTAGTCATATTTTACCGTGGTCTTCTGTAAGGTGGTAGTAACTTCCCCAGACGTCGCTACAATTCGAGCCGAAATATACAAATCTCATAAATTAAAAATATCAAAGAAGACTGTTTAGTCCAAACAAAACATTTCCTTACGTGGCAATTTATAATTTTATGTATTATTAAGTAAATATGTAATTGTATTAGCGTAAGCAAATCAGTTCACGTTCGGACGTCATATGTACCGCGTATAGACGTCATATGTACCGCATAACAGTTTCAACATAATCGGTGTTATCAATTTATCACCAAATTATCATTTAACAACATAGAGCAACCAGACAGTTGTAAACCATATTTCAAAAAATTCGAGATTCTTACTTTGCCCTGTATTTACATATTAGAGATTTGTAAATTCACTCGTAAATATCCAAATTTTTTTAAAAAGCGAAATGATACATTTTTACGGTACACATCACGACATGGACATAAACTGCTTATACCAACTACAAGGCTGAAAATGAACTTATCTGGTCCACTTCAAATGGCTGTCAAAATTCATAATAAATTACTTAAAACGTTAGTTGAGGAAAAGGTTGATAATATATTCATTGGAAAAATTAAAAAGCTACTATTAAGCAAATGTTATTACACGGTTAAGGAATTTTTAGAAGATAATAATTTAAAGTAATGATATCTACAATTTAATTTTTTACTATACCTGACATTTTATTTAATTTGTATATAATAAAATTGAATATAAATATAACATAATATACTATAGAATATGACATAGATAATAATTCAAATAATATAATATTAAGCTAAAATGAATAAATAATGTTGATATTAATATATTTTTATTTGTTGGGTAAAAAAATATCGTATTTGGCTGGTAAATTGTATACGTACTAACTACTCGTAAATTACAATTAGTGAATGCGTCCTCTTCTCTATTTGCTGTGCCCTGTTCAGGGTCTACAATGATCAAAGCAATGTACCTACTAAGATCTAAGAAAACATTGTAGAACGCAATAAAGTATTGATTGATTGATTGAATGACATCATCTCGAAAGGTTCTACACCTTTCGACTACCACCACCAAGGAAACTCAACAAAGACTTTCGGCACGGTAATATTATCTATACAGTATTGTGACTCCGCCCTGTCCTTGAAAATAAATGCCTACACCGAACGCTGCGTTGGCACGCGGTAGGGCCGCCAGCCTACAGTATTTTATGTAGTTTTGTTTTTAACGCGAGTGTAGGTAGATTACTCGTTTGTCTCTTTTTTCATTATAACCACTTATTTATATATTATTCCAGATATTTTGCCCGATGGAAAAACCGAAATACCTAAATATTAGAAACAAATAACGTACTAGTAGATAGGTATGTAAAAATATTCTATAAAGGTAAGACACCTTTCCAATATTTCAGGTAATTTAAAAAATGGTATCTCTGGGTGTGTTATTGAAGAGTTCAAGCAACCAAAACCAGCAATTGTGCTGTTGTACGATATTGATCGTCGTTTGTTCTTTTCCATACTAAATTATGTAGGTATCTACTTAATTAAATCAAATATTTACAATACAAAACGCATGTTTAAGCACGGCTAACTGCATAAAAAACAATTCAGACCGTTCGGTCATCGTTGCGGCGCGGTGGCGCATTCGCGACTGGGTGCACGCCGAGAGCACATCGAACTCGAGTGGCGTAGGTATGACTCGCTTTCCGACCGTTTGTATGAAGATAGAATACTGTATGATATTATTACCGTGCTTTCGGTGTCCGTAAGTATAGGTATTTCTGAATCATGATTATTTCTAACGCTATCAACTCGTGCAATTCGTGCACCAGTTACCCATTTCAGTATTCATGCTCTAACGCTCACGTCATTTGAGCTAATCGAATTGGCAATGCCACTACTGGTCGAGCATACGCCTAATGTGAACAGTCGCTCGTAATAGAAGAGCTATTTGATTATCAGCCCGCAGTTTAATGAGCTCTGTTAACAACATTTGATTTATCGTGCAGTGATCACGGCGTGTTTCGTTATTGTCAATTATGTAACGCATAATAGGCATGATGAAGAGGTATAGTAAACGAAATTCTATGTATTCCGTCAGTAAGATAAACAAAAAATAATGGACACATATTTTTTCTTTGGTCAATCAACCAAAAAATTAGAAAGATAAAGTGCGTCAAGTTTTGGGAATTAGGGGCTCGTGACGTCACTCCTAAGTAAAAATTCTACCAACAAGTGACGTCATGCGTAATTTCAATGAATATTATCTCTGTAATGTCTTGATTGTGTGTATAACGAAAAAAACACGTGTCCAATAATTTTTTCATAGTCCTAACTATCTGGTAGATGAAGAAAATAAAGTTAGTAATTATATCTATAAGATAGATATAGGTAAATAAGTATGGCATGATTCTCCGATTGATATAGGTATATAGGCCTACAACAGTTCCTTTCTTTATGACAATGTTGCAAATATTCAGTTGAAGAAAATACATTATTAAATTATAATTTCGAAAATTAACTCTCGACAGAAACACAAACGTACATACACATCACCCCCAAAGATTGTGATCATAAACACAAAGGTGCGTCGACGAAATTAATATCTTTTTACGCGCGCGGCCGATTAGGCTCGCCCGCAAAAAAGCGTAGCGTCTGTAATCAAATTATTATCACGGCGACCTTAGGGCGAAACCACGAATCCTTCCCCGGTATTTATCACGTGGAATAATGGATGAATGCGCGGTTTTTTCGCCCTTTTCCGCCGATAACGTACCCACCTGCCCAAGGGTCGAGAGGTCCTCGTGCGAGCGTTTAGAACGTCTAGCTTACGTAGGGGCTTGGGGTTGGTCGCCGCGCAATTCTTTTGTTTTTCCAGTTTTTTTTCCTAAATATGGCTTCGCACGGCTTGTGCATTTAGCCAATGTCAAGTGTTAAAATGTTTACAAAGTCCAATGGCAGTCAAGTCAATCCCCCTTTCCCTATGTTACAGTAAATGTGTGGGGATTTACTGGAACCTCCCCGTGGACTTCTTGAAGGAACGTCGAAAGACACTTTCCGCTATTTTGTTTCACTTGCTGACACTTGTGCGTGTTCCCGAGCACTTAGTGGTTAATAATTCACCATTATTAGACACTAACATCCGCCACAACACAATTTTAACAAGAAAAACAAAACTGCTAAAATGACGCTTTACGATCCCGCCAAAAAGTTCTTTTTCTAGATTGGACAGAAGTGTTTTCATATTTTATTTTTTTAAATATTTACCGTTGACCATGCAACAGACGGAACTCAAACCCGCACCCTTCGCTATCCGGGTAATAGTCAGTGCATTCGCCCGGATAGCGAAGGACGCGGCTCGGATCCCGTCTGCTGTCTAGTCCGCGTATTTTTTTTTCTAGTAAATTTTCATCAGTAGTGTTTTAGTTATTTTTTGCTCATTAATTGCTAAGGCCCATTTTTAACTGAAGTTCTAAAAAATCATGACGAATTTAAAAGCTTAATTTGCCTTAACGCTCAATGTATCTCTATTCAAATTTTAACAACTGATAAAGATAGAATGATATGGCAAACACGATTAAGCCTTAATTTAAACAAAGAATTTTGGTGCAATCCTCCTAAACTTCCAAGTAAAAAAAAATATATATTATTTTTTATACTTTCCCATCAAATACTTTAAAAGGAAAACGGTCTTGTGTCACTGAATTTAGTACGATTTCAAAACGTCAAGCATATAAACTTGTTTCATTAAAATATACATTGAGTGATTCTTACAAATCCTTTTGGTCACATTACATCTTCAAAGCGTAGCACATAAAGAAAAACAAACAATTCAAAACAATGTATAAGCCCAATAAAGTTCACAATGAAAAAAAGCCTCAACAGACGATTTAATAATTCCAAGACGTAAAATTGCGTAGCGGCATAAATTTCCAGAAGTAAAGAGTTGGGTCAACGTTTTCACGGGCTAACTAAAAAAAGGTAGCCGAAAATAAAATTACAAATGGTCCGAGCATTAGAACAAACGACGCACCGAGTGTCGCCGGAACAAAAACCGATAAAAAACCAAAAAATGTTCCGATTCGGTAAAAAATAAGAATCAGACAAAAGCCGTTGCGGCAACCTCTATACGTGTCCAGTTTTTTTACGAACCCGCAGCCCTTTTGTCCTTCCGGGCCTCTTTTTTAAATAGATCAGTGAGGGTAAGTAAAGACCGGATGTCCACTCTGAAATATTATTGTGGATTTTTCTGCTTGGCATTCATAAATATTTTCCCCCGACCGAACCCCGGGAGGGGGCAGGATTTACTCGAATCGGCGCAGAATTATAAATTTGGTTAATAAAATATGATACGATAAAGCCGCTTTTTTACTCCGCCCTCTATTATATTTTGTTTAATTTAAATATGAATAATTAAATTTAAAAAGGAAATCTCTGTGGCTAATGAAATTTTTGTTTTCGAGATAATGAATTGAAAACAGTCTGTGACGCGGCCGGTGTTATTCTTCTCTCGCCGAGCTCATTCGGATTCATCCTTCGTTTTTAAAAAGCACGAAAAAAAATTTAAATGTATTAATTATGACGATGAATTATATTTTCCATGTTTATCTGACCCCTTTGTACTATCACCGTAGCACGCAGTATTTTCTAAATTGAAACAGATATAAGAGTTTAATTAAACTTTTTTACGCATGGAACCTTTGTAGAATACTCATTGGCGGTGCAAAAAGCACCCCTCGCTCCGTACCCGATCTCCATCTGTAAAAACACTCTAGATTTTAAATGAAAATAAAACATTACAATCGACAAGTGCAAGAGGAAAACACCGGGAAACAGACCCACGCCACGGATATCGGTCCCAAAAAGTCCAACAACCCTTAATCAACACAAACGCTCCCGCACGACGATCAAACGGCTACAAATTATTAAAAAAAAAATAATACCCGAACAGAAATATTAAACAAAAGCATCGATCCCGACTGTCGCGACCACTGGGGATTAAAATCGTAACGAACGCACGGAAATATTCAAATACAATACTAACAAATTGATACAAACACTCATTAGGCGAGGTTCGCAGAAGGCGATTCACCCACAGGAGGGGGGCGGGCCGATCTCTGCCAACATTACAATCCACATCCCGCTCACAAATATTATCTAAAATTCCTTCTCATTTATAATCCTTTTGTGTCCTCAGCGCGGTGTCCTCCGTCAAATCCCCACCCGGAGGGTGGTGGGGTATTTTTATATTTTTAATCGCGTTGGGCATTATCCAAATGGACATTGGCGGTACGCCGACTGCTGCCGTCGAGATGATAAATTCTCCTTTCGTTCGACACCCGGCTGTTTTGTTTTGTCCCTCTGTAATGTGGCTTCCTTTATTGGGTAGAGGAAAACTGCTCGCATCATTAATTACGCTCGATTTTTCTGCGGGTGACTGGCGAGCATTCTTCCTGAGGTCTTCGACGATTAAAAATGGGCCGCCATCTGTGCCCTTTTCCTCTTCCAAATGAGAATTGATTGTCGCGATCGTTCGATGCAGGTTGCCCGGTCCCTTTGAATGGTGATCGATGTTCGCGAGTTTGTGGTAATTAACTTTCTTTTTGTCAAATTTTCATGCTAATGGCCACGGGATTGACGGGGAGTCAAAGGCGGTGAGCGATGATTTAGAAAATTGTTTTTCTTTAGAAATCAGCATTAGATGTGTAAATCGACGGAAGGATGACTTTTCAGGTAAAGTTTTGGCGGTCATGGTTTTTTTTTTCATTTAATTTCTTTCATTCTTAGATGTCACTAAAACATTACTTTTGTGACCTACTTAGATCTCTATTTCATACAATTTCGAAACCATAAAGCTGGACTGAATATAATTTTTCACTTTTATCATTCAACCATAGGATTGAATATAAATTTTCATGTTATTCCAATATTGTTTTATGCAATATTACTTTCGAGTATTTACCCTTCGGTTTACGATTGCCCCTAAAATATAGACTTATTCAAATCCCTAAGTTTGCCGAAGCGGCGTCGATATTTCACAACGGCTCGAAGGACAATATCTTCCGTGACATAAAATTTCGAAAAAAGTTTAATGGCTACAAAATCCCGTTGTCCAATAAAACAAGCAAACCCTAATATATTGTATGAGTGATGTATAGATGATCCTATTATGCGGTGAGGTGGGCAGGAGACGGTCCGGGCCACTTTGCATATAGAAAAGCAATTTTTTTCATGTTATTATAAAAGGAAGGTTAAGTGCGAGCTGGCCACGATTCGAGAATTCTTTGGTAATTGAAATAATAGGTAATCGGTTGAAATCGGTTTTGAGTATCTAGAAATTTTTAAATGTTCTCAAAAAATTTAGATTTAAGAGAACATTCAGAATTTATATTTTTATACAAAACATAAAGGTATTAAAATATTGAAATGACAACGACTATGTGGGCAATACAGCGAGTAGGGGACACAAATAATTGTCGATATCGAAATATTAAAATATGAATGTCATAAATAACGAC